AGATCCAGAAAGAGGATGAAGGGACGATCAAAATGGCGGTGATCCGATCCGAAAATATGGTCTCACGCGCCTCCACGCGCCGGTGAGACTGGCTGCGCGTGGGCTTCACTCGCGGATTAAAGGGAGGCGCGTGTGGGCGCGTGCAGTGGCCTTCCGGGCTGAGATTTCTGGGGCAACGTCGTCCGGCAAGCGCGGTTCTATCTGGGGATGGTCGGAGTTGAAAAGCCGCCGGGAAATGGTCCAAACGCAATGAACAGATTTTGTTTTGTTGAAACACGATGAATAGTAACAGAGGTCTAGTGTTTAACGTGACTGAAGGTGTTTAAATGATAAATTGGAACAAGACGAGGGAAACTGAGGTCTTCTCGATCCAAGAGTTCCCCGGAAAAAAAATTCCGGTGGCGGCTGATGGCAGCAAGAGACGAAAAGAATAAAAGGTTTTGTTCTAAAGACAATAGGCGCAGAAGCAGAGCCCTCAGGATCGAGAGCTCTGATACCAACTTGAAAGAAAAAAGGGAATTTGAAATATTATTGAATTGTGTAAATAATCTGTACAAAGAGGTCTCTATTTATAGAGAATGAAAACCCTAATACTTGACCTAATGGGCCTGGCCCAATACAACAAATAATAATAATTAAATAGCCAATATTTACAACAGAGTTGCGATCAAAGGATGCTTCAAATATCTTTTATGTCAAACACATTTCAGTTCCTATGTGTTGGTATCCTCATGATATTGAATTACATGATAACATAGAAGCATCCTAAAGACTACAGTAAAAGATTATTGATTTGTACCAGAAGCTAAATCCTTAATGCATTATGCTATAACAACACCTTTGCTAAAGGGAAAACTAGATGATAGTTGATTTTTAGATCTGCTAGAATTTAGCATCAACAAGGTTGATTTAGATATCAGTGTATATGTGTCGTTATCCTGTTTCTGGACCACATAGTCATTTGGCATATATTGTTTTTTAGGGAAATATGTTTCTCATATTGCACGAGACAAATTTTCTCATGCAACATATTCTCCTTATTTTTATGATTATTTGAAGAATCATATGAAGTGCTGATTGAATTTATTTTTTTCTTTAGATTACAAATCTGAGAATAGCTTGTTTCTTTGGTCCATTTTTGGTGCATGGCTATTGAAATTACTAAATGATATCACGAAGATTCCTTTGGCTTCCTCTGTTTCTCCTTCAAGCAAATTTTTGTCTTATACATTTCAGCTTACAACATTGATATTTTGTGTACAAAAAATAACATCCTAAACTTTATAAGCATGTAATCTGTTGTCTGTTTTGTACAGACTTACGCAGAGTCCTTAGCACGTTTTCAAGGAGGTTCACCTTACATATATCCACTATATGGACTGGGAGAGTTGCCTCAGGTTCTCTATATCTGTCTTCCCCTTTAAATATAGCAAGCATACTTCAGGAACTAACTTCGAGTCCTTTGATTGTCTGAAGGCATTTGCACGTTTGAGTGCTGTGTACGGTGGAACATACATGCTCAACAAGCCAGAATGCAAGGTAAGTTTGTGATGATACTTCTATTTTCAGGAAAATCAATTAAACTTCTATAACTTGTGGTAGGAATCTTGTAACTTGTATCCAGAGAATTAAATTGAATTTTGTGGTTGTATCTTGTCTGATATTCTAAAGCAATTCATTTTATCCTTACTAGTTATTCTATTCTCTTTCAATTTTTGCAGTTTATTTAAGGTTTTATAAGAGTTATGTTGTAGGAAAAGTGATTGTGTAATGTTATAGAGATTCGTTTTGCGTGCCTTAGTTTTTTTTTTTGCTTCAAAAAGTGCGGGCCCCACAAACTGTTGTATGTGTAGGAAACTTTTTTGTGTCATGTGACATAATAGATGCAAACCCCGTTTATTTATATGTAACGTAAGGATCAACTTACACTAAGTGTAACAAGTATTTACATACATAGGCCATTGATCCCAGTTGCATCTAATGGCTCAGATGACTAATAAATTGGAGCCGTTAGATTCAAGTGAATAGCTACTAATGGGTGGAAATATTAGAGAAGGTGTAAGTTGATCTTTCCCATTTTGTAGTATATTTCTCTTGACATTTAATCTTCTGATACACAGGTAGAGTTTGACGATAATGGGCAAGCCATTGGTGTGACCTCCGAAGGAGAAACAGCCAAATGCAAGAAAGTGGTGTGTGATCCATCATATCTTCCTGATAAGGTATATCCTTTGTTAGATTTCTAAAGTTGCAAGAACTGTGAGCTACATTCTCTCAAGTGTTTTGTTTAATTATTGGAAATGTTAGTTCGCATGAATGTCTTCTTATGAATTGCTGCAGAACATCTGATACTTTTTAATTGATCCAACAGGTTCGGACGGTTGGAAAAGTTGCACGTGCAATATGTATTATGAGTCATCCTATTCCAGACACCAATGACTCTCACTCAGCACAAGTCATTCTGCCACAGAAGCAACTTGGCCGTAAATCTGATATGTACGTTTGCTTTGATATGTTAGTAAAGGCAAAAAAAGAAAAAGAGTTTCTAGACCTTATCACGTCTAAATGTCACTGATAAAGAACTATTGATTAACCATGCATTATACTATCCATTAATTAGGTTCCTGCAGTTGTTAGTTACCACTTACAAATTATAAAATTAAATAAGAGTAAAAGAATGGACTTGTACTTAGGAGTATTCTTACTTCAAACTTCATAGGTTCTGTTTCCTGATTTCCCTTGTTATATTGCAGGTATCTCTTCTGTTGCTCTTATGCTCACAATGTAGCAGCCCAAGGAAAATATATTGCTTTTGTTACAACAGAAGCAGAGACTGACCAACCTGAGGTGGAATTGAAGCCTGGTATTGACCTTCTTGGACCGGTAGATGAGACATTCTATGACATTTATGACAGATTTGAACCCACCAATGATCATGCATCTGATGGGTGTTTCATCTCTACAGTAAGTACTAAGTAGAATCTCTCATAAGCATATCTTGTTTTTTCTTTTCTTTTCTTTTTTCTTTTTTGTTTGTGTTATTTCCTATCCATTGTGACAGGACACTTGAAAGGGTTATATAGAGCACTGACATACCAATACATTACTAAGTTGCCTGTATTATTTGACTGATGGAAAATATTGAGCCTGTCATTAATAAATAGGGCTTGGATGTGTGGGAAGAAAGAAGAATCAAATATTCTTTTGGTGTAAATAAAGTAATTAACATCTCATGTTATGTAAGTTTCACAATTTAAAAACCTAAATTTGGATATTATTTTAAAATATTTAGGGAATGCTTTTGTCTCTGGTTTCCTTCATGATAGTATGAAATCTTATCACATTTCGTATTCGGCCTATATAATGGAATTTCTTTCCTTATTCTTTTTAACTTCGAAAATCAGTTGTACTAACCTGAATTCAATTCCTTGCAGAGCTATGATGCTACCACACACTTTGAAACCACAGTAAAAGATGTGGTTGAGATATATAGTAAGATCACTGGAAAGGTTCGTTTTTTTTTTTTTTAGTTAATATACAATTGAAATAAATATTTCATTGTAAGTACAATAATAACTACACTGTTTGAGGACATTGAGAGTTCTCTACACTTTCAAATATTTCATTCTTTGTGGTAAATGGTATCTTTCATTTAGTAAAAGCATGTCTTGGACTAGTTTCCTTGTTTTAACTCCTTTTTGTTGGAACTATCATAAATTTTCATAAAGTAAAGATAATTTTTAATGAAAAATAGAATGGTACATGTGGTTGGTAGATATGGCATAGAACTAAGCATATTTCTATTTGTTCCAAGCAAAATTTAGACCCAAATTTGTTACCTCTCCAAATATAGCATTTCTATTTCTTCTTTAGAGAACCGGATTCTGATGATTTACCATATGATCTTGGAACTACGCATTTGCAAGCACAAAAGCATTTATGCTCCAAATATAATGTTGCATAAGAGAATATCATATCAAAGGGGGGGAAAATAATGTACCGTTGGAAGTTTGGATTTTTTTCCCTTGATTATAAGCTCTTTTTTTGTTCTTCGTTTCAGGCTCTTGATCTTTCTGTGGACCTGAGTGCTGCAAGTGCTGCAGCTGAAGAATGAGCTTGCTTGAAATTACACAAACATGCCCAAGTATTAGAAAGAAAGTTTCAATTTATTTATTTATTTATTTCATATGTTTGTGTTTTGATGACCTAATGAGAAGAGAAGAAACACATCTTTATTCCTTTTGATCGATGGGCATTTTATGCCCTATATATTTCTGCATTCTTTAACTCAACCAATCTGTTTAGTAGTCAAGATAATTGCTGTGATAATTTTCCTTTCATCATTAAATCCATTTTCGAGTATATTAGCTAAAAAGATGAGATTGTGATATACAAGAAGATCATAGCAAAGATGTGGTTGTGCTGTACAGCATAATACGCCTTTAAAAAAAAAACTAGAAATACAATGAAAGCATCTGGAGCTAGAAGATATTTTTCATCAAGCTTATTTTTCTAAACTATGGGTCATTCATTTTTCTAGAAAGAGTTTTGTTAAAATAATAACTTTGCAATAAAAATTGTACAATTATATAATTTGATGATTATGATATTAGCAAAGTCATCAACCACCTTTCTCCTAAATTAAATTCATAAATGCTGTCTTCAGTCTTCACTCTTCACAATTTCTAGTTTCCATTCAGGCCACCAGGAATTGAATCCTGAAGTTCCGTTCTTTTGCTTCACATTGCATACAACTTACCAGCACTTCAATGGATCTATAGCATTTGTTGACATTTACAAAACAAATAGAGCGATACTAATGTTACACTTGTACTTACAACCGTGCATTACTATCCATGTAGTTCCATACAAAGTTCAGGGTAGCCCAGTGCCACTCCCTAAACTTCTTTCTTCCTCTTAGTTAAGCTCAGGGCTACCAGCACAGATGTACAAACGAATGAATTTAGGAGTTAAAAGTACAACAGTTTCTCCTTCACAGAATCACATGCAACGTTGCATTGTGCAGAGCCATTAATTATTCATATATCTTGTTCATATATTACAATTACATTTACACAATTACTACAGAACTAAGGTAGCAACAGAAGAGAAGTAACATCAAAATTATGGCTTACCAGAGTTTAATGAAATACAACAATAAATTGAAAAGAGAGAGCAAGATGAACAGGTTTTGTAAGTCCTTAGCTGCCTAACTTAAAAGCATCCACAAAGAGGCCCAAACATATGCCGGCTTTCCAGTAGTTCATCATAGTTAGAAAAGACTGTAATCTCCCAGTCCTCACAGTAGGTGGCTTTTTATATATTAGCATACCAATCCCCTCAATTGCAGCCACCACAACACCAGCAACCAGAACATCCCAATCACCGGTTTGCCCAAGGATTGTAGCTAGTGCATTTGCTGTGTAGAAACCCAAAAGTAGTAGGAATATTTTCATAGGGAAGTTCTTTCTAGCTGAGTTCAGCTTTTCTAGGAGTTGTCTGCCACCTGCAGTCAGTATCCTACCCAATCGAGTACCACCAAAACTGGAACCAGCGTCATTGAGGCTTTGTTGCTCCCCATTATCAGACACTCCACCTGTGTTCAAGGCAAAAGCTATTTTCCAACCAGCTCTTCTTCCCAGTAAACTGAACCAAGGTATTGAAAAACAATTGATATTGCATGGATATAGAAATAACCATTGTATTCCCTTAGTAGTAAGATTAGAAGCACCCAAAAAGCCCAGTCAATTGAAACAATGCCATCAATTAGACTTGTTAAGTGGGGCTTGTTCCAGCGACCATTACCATGGAACAGAAAAGTATTTTACGGGAAAGAAAAGAATGAGAAAAATATATGCATTAGCTTGAGCGAGGAAAAAGACATTACACTGTAGTGGGAAGGATACATAATATCCATTGCTGAGATTTTAAGCTAGTTTCTAACAAACACTATCAAAGGATTATATACCACAAAAACCAAAGCCTTTTTCCGCTAAGTGGGGTCAGCTACATGAATCAAATGATGCCATTGTCTTTTGTCAAAAACCAATTCTTCACATAGGCCATTTAAATCTAAATCGTTTTTAAGGATTTTACTCACTTTTTTTTATAATCTTTATTCATTGCATAATATTTTGTGTTAATTGGGGTTTAAACTCTCTAAATTGGACATCCCATTCAGTTTTTCTGTCATGTTTTGCTTCAATAGTTTCTAATCATGTGTCATTGTTAATGGTTTATTTTTATTTTTATTTTGTTTTCATAGAGTTAGAATTGAAGTTTCACATTGTTTTCTAATTATGTCTGTGTGTATGTAGATGAGCCACGATGAAGACACATTATGGAGACAAATGAAGTCAAGAAAGAAGAGTGAATAAAAAATTGGTGAAATCAGACAAAGGTTCGCCATACCACTAGGAAGCAAATGCCACAGTGCCAGCTGGAGGAATTGAAACTCCTCTCGGGGTATGCAGTACTAAAGCATTGAGATTAGAGCACTTTAGCACAAGTTACGTGCCACAACATTGGAATAGTAGAGCCACAACGCTACCTGCACATGAAAATGGACTCTCTAGACCTAGAGTGCCATGCGCTCAAGAGCCACCATTGTAGTGTTGAGAGTTATTTTGACCGAAATATAAATAGCAGAAGGAAAGAGGAGACACTTTTTTTGGTTCCGGAATTTGGAAGTACAATTCCAGAGTTGAATTGGGGCAAGGACGAGGACTTCACATGCGGAAGCATTGATCAACTCCCTCTCAATCCTTTATGTCAATATAGCTAAATCCTTGTTAGGGGATGATGGATCTTAGTTTGAACTTGATTGCAACTTAGATCTGAAGCTAATTCAAATTCCTCAATCTTTAATTAAATAATTTTCTGTGCTTAAAGCTTTTCAAGACATGATCCGATGACCATTTATGCAATTGGAAAATGATTTATGGTATTGCTTCTTGGGTTAATCACCATGGGTATTAAAGAACTAGGAATAGACTTTGATATTCATGTGATGTTCAGAGAATTCTCTTTAAGGCTTCATGCTTATTCCACTCTAAGTTAAGGGATTAATTAATTGTGATTGGTGTAGGGTTGAAATGAATAGGTTTTTGACTACAAAGGTAGAATTCGACCAGTAATTAAAGTCTGAGAACTTAAGTTTAGTTTGCTCTAGTTACACTAAGTGATAGCTAAGTGAAATTTGAACCTACTTTTTCAATCCATTGTCTCATTTACTAATTCTGTGTTATGGTTAGTTGTGTTACAAATTCTGCAAACCTCAATATATTTACAACTCTTTGTGTTTGAATTTACATCAAAGAACTCCATTCAATCCTAATTTGAGTTCATATAGTAATGAATCAAGTAATTGGCTAATAAATCCTTGAGGACAATGCTCATACTCTCACTTCATTACTTGAAAACGTTTTTTTACATTTGCTAAAGTTGTGACATATTTCTTGGTCTTCATTTACCTCTAATTATTAAGCTATCCTTCATTTGATCAACTCTTCTAACTAGAGCTTTTATTTGTCTTTTTGTCATATGATCAACTCGTATGAATCAAAGGATTATAAGAAGCCAACAACTAATAAGACAAAAAATCATCATATTTATGGACCAGGGGAAAAACATAAAATGTTAAGATAAGTTCATATACCTGCTATGGGCAAAAGGTGATGAGTTAAAGCTAACTTTTAGAGTTAGCCCACCAAAACTTGGCTCACAGCAACATCTATGGATTCTAGAAGTTGCAAGGGCTATACATGATTGTTCAGAGCTTTCATTCTCAGTAATTGATAATCTCCACTGCAGATTCATAGATCCCATTTGACAAGCCATGTACTATATAAGCAGAAATTTGTGTAAACTAGTTCTCAGGCTACCAATCTGCATTAGGTCAAAGTCTTAAAAAAGTTATATGTAGAGCTTCACATTATGCGTCATTCATTAAACCACATTTCAACATGAGTTAAGCTTGAAAATAGACTATATTGGATGAGTTTTACTGCATAATATTGAGATGGTTGAAATTGGAAGTTAGAATTTCATTCATGGTCGTTATTAGACAAAGCAATTGCATGAAAAAATAAAAACTAATTTCTGGAATACATTACATTGTATTAACCTAATATGTCATGAAAACCAATTTTTCATAAATTAGTTTTTTTCTTTTGCAGAAATACTCAAATTGATTTTTTTCCTTTTTTTTTTAAATGTCTTATTCACAGCCATACATGAGAAAATTCACAAATGATAGAACTTGAACGGAAAAACTAATTTCGTTAGTAATGTAATTCTACTGTCTTTTATTTTTATCATAATGGCTGGTTAATTCAAGCCATAACTATCAAAAAAAAAAAAAAAAAAATCCACTTGAAGATACAAATCAAACGGCTTCTGTTTGGAGTGGGTTTAAGTTGAATACAAAATTGTGTTGTGGATAGTAGGCATAGAAAGAAAATAGAGAGCGCTACCTTCTTCTAGAGAGGATGATGACACTGTCGTGTCACGTGTGACCGGTGACCGGAAGCATAGAGTGAGGAGGAGGAGGGGAGGAGGAGCATCGCCTGCTGAAAATGTAAAACCTTTTATTTAATATCACTTTTCACTTCGGGACTCGCCGCTCCTCCGAACCGGTAGGTTGTGCGAATTGAACCGAATCATATGAAAATCGAACCGAATTCGGTTCGAAATTGATTTTTGAAAATAATTTGGTTAGGAATCAGTTTGGTCGATTCTATTCTAAAATAAAATTAAAAAATTAAAGAAATAAAATAATAAAAATCGATTTGATTTGAAAATATTTTGGTTCGATTCTAAAATATTCGATTCTTGAATTAGTTTTAAAAACTGGTTCGATTCATAAATTAATTTTTTAAAATTTGAATCAATTCATGAATTAATTTTTGAAAACCGACAGCGTCCGAAAAATTTTAAATTAAGATATCAACTTATTTGTTTGTGTTTTTTTTATTATCATTATTAGAGTATAAAAATATTAAGAGACACAGTTATATTATCTATTTATTTAAAAATTTATTATATTTTTATCACCGTTAATTATATTTAAATAATTCAATTAATTGTGGTCTTTTGACTAAAATAATATAAATATTGTTACCAAAAAAAATAATATTAATATAAATTTTATTAAATATAAAATTAACTGTTAAAATTAAATATAAAATTTACTATTTTTATACCCGATACGAAGACAATAATATTAATATATATGGTGCATCATCCTCAAAAGAAAAATTAAGGACCATCAATCCATCATCCAATTCGAGAGATGGGGGACGTGGAGAGGGTGAAGGCGGAGGCAGTGCAAATGATGGGAGCATTTCAAGTGCTACCAAGGTTATGCGTTTTCGATCTCGATTACACTCTTTGGCCTTTCTATTGGTACTACTCTTTTTTCTCTTTCTACCTAGTTTCTTCTTTCTTCTTTCTAGTTTGTTACTATTTGACCAATATCATCATCCTACATATATGTTTAGTCTATGTTCATAATATTATTATTATTGAATGACATCTCTAGTAAAACATTTTGATAATTTTAGCATCTAAAGATGTTTCTCCTTGAAAAGCTTTCTGATTATTTTATCTATCATCTCATGCATTTTTCAGTGAGTGCCGCTCCAAGCGGGACACACCTTCATTGTATCCTCATGTCAAAGGCATCTTGTATGCACTCAAGGATGAGGGGGTTGATGTTGCCATTGCTTCTAAATCACCAACTCCTGATATAGCAACCACTTTTCTTGACAAATTGAGCATCAGGTCAATGTTTGTTGCCCAGGTGATTTGCTCTATCATAATCACACCCCCTTTTTCTTTTTCTTTTTATTTTTGTTTATTGTCCTTCTTGTGGCTGTGCATTGTTTTCATCCTCTTTTATGGTAAATGTTTTTAATCAGATTTATGTGTTGAGTGGTGTTGACCAATTTTTTTTTTTTTTTGTCTGATTGTTCAGGAAATATTTTACAGTTGGACACACAAAACAGATCATTTTCAGAGAATTCATTCAAGGACTGGAGTCCCCTTTAACTCTATGCTGTTTTTTGATGATGATGATAATAACATCCAAGTGGTAATAAACCTTGCGCCTGTCTTTCTCTCTTTTTTTATGAAGTTTCTTAAATTTTCTTGTCTCACTTTTTCAACTGAGTCCTTAATTGAATCATATAAAATTGTGTGCAAATTTGGTCTTTTTCTTTGGGTGGAGTAAGGATTATCAATTTATCATATATGTGTGAAATGATTTGTAGTGTTATTCACAGGTCTCAAAAATGGGAGTAACAAGCATTTTGGTTAGAAATGGGATAAATCTTGGAGCATTTAGAGAAGGCCTTACAAGATTTTCCCAAAACTGGGATGCGCCAAAGGACAAGCAGAAACGGCGTACGTAATACTCTCTGAAGGCAGATACTTCCAACGATGGTGCACGGAATAGAATATCCAAATGAATATCTCTATGTGCATTTATTCAGAACTACATCATTTGACGATTTCAACTATGTTTGTGCCTATTACTCTCCATTCTCAAGAAAAAAGAAAGCATATATTGGAGCATTTTTAATACAAATGTTAGATGTATACATGGATGAATGAAAATCTCAAAATGCTAAAAAAGCAAGTAGAAATAGCTCACGAAGTACTGTGAGAAGACAGATATTCCCAACAACGGAGTAAAAAATTTAATATTTAATTGAAGTTCTGAGTATTGAGATTTCAACTAAGTAAGAAGTTCCACACTGATAAGATTATGAATCTAACATAAGTTCTTGATTAAGAAATTTAAGAAATAGTGAGAACCACACAAATAAAGAAACTAAGTTAATCCATAGATGAAGATCTATATGGCACTTACAGAGTTACAGGTTGAAAATTTACAAGATTTTCCAGAAAGCAGAACTGTACTTTTACTTTCCCTTACTGAACCCTTTCACTTTTCTCAAGCTCAAAACAAAAGTTAAAGCAACTTAAATTTTAACTTACTAAATTTAAAAAGAAACACATATTTACTTATTTTATTTAAAAAACAAACTCTTAAAAACCATTTCTCAATGACACAACTTCACCACTCAACTAATGTAACATTTTAAAGCACTAGTTAATAATTGTTTTCATAATCAAACTCTTAACAATCTTTTCAAAAAGCACGTAGTTTCAATAGTTAATTAATATGGTTTGCTCGAAATAACATCAAACAATCCCCGCCTCAAAATGTACATTTTACAACAGAAACTTCTCTTAAAAAGTAGAGAGTTTATTATCTGACGTCAGTTATAGTTGGACTTAAACTTCTAAATAAACGTTGAAACACAAATTTGAATGTTTCTTTACATATTTACAAATAATAGGCCAATAGCCTAACCTTAACACCCTACCTTTAAGAACACAATTCAATAGTTACAAAGAATGAACAAACAATTCTGTAAGCAACAAAACTAAAACAGAGTTTCATAGGTTTGCTGTGGAGGTATCTTCACTATGGATCAATTTCAGCACTACATATTTCAAAAGTTTTAAGCTCTTTCTGCAAGGAGCAGTTGTTCAAGTTCCTCCCTGCGCCGTTCCAACTCCTGGAAGTGTCCACAAAAGCAAGTAAATACAGCAAGATTTTTCTTGGTAAAAAAATGAATTAATCAAAAGGAGATAAAAAGTTACATAGAAAAATAAAAGTCTGGATCGTCTCAGTTAAGATTTAAAACTAGTCCATGCTATTGATCTTTGTACCCAATCTCCAACAACGATGATAGAATTGAAAGGGAAAAGTACTATCGCAATATGACAAGAAGGAACTAACAGGCAAAGATGCAAGCCTCCCATACAAAAAAATAATTTGAAGTTTTGAACAACTAGTAGGTATAGTCCTGTACACAATATTTTCAAATCATAAGGTCAAGTGTTCACAGCCTTCCAGAATTTAAAAATACCAATAATCGATTCAGATTATGATCACATGCATTCATCTTCAATTACCAGAATTGCTATGTATCAGGAGAAAATATTAGTTCTCTATAGCACGTCAGTATGGTATTTTCCCCATCACGAGATCAAACATCATGTCGCAATTAGAACGTTATTATGCATAGCATCTAAGGAACCACAAATAATAGGCATACAAACGGAAATCAGTCAGATTAAATCATAATTTCTAAACATAGCAGTATACCTTCAGATCCTTTACTGCTTGATCTCTTGTGGTCTCTAGCTTCTGGCGATGACGTTTAAGAAAACCAATGCACAGGATTCCCTTCAGATGATAATATAATGATAGGAAAAAGAATGTCAGCTTTGTTTTCCATTAACAAGCAGAGCAGAAATTATTAGAAGACTAAATGTGGAAAGTCATCGAAAAAGAAGTAAATAGTAAGAATAATTTACTAGAAAATAATTTGAAATCTGTCCAACAAAAGGTATGTCAAACATGGGCAGTGGGAACTGAAATGAAACACCAGTCTGCAGGGCAATAGAACACTATATGCAAGTTGAATGAAAACTATTTAAAAACAAAAATTAAAAAATAATTGTTTGTCATATATTTTACAATATTTGAACTCAGTCTGATAATGCTGTATTAAGTACCCAATATTTTGCCAAGTCGACAGAAAAAGTATAAATTATAAAAGGGGAAAGTACTTCTTATATGACTGCAGAAGGGAAAAAGTGCAGCAACACTTTCTTTTATCAGGATACGCGTGCGAATCCTGTTTTTTTTTTGTTTTTTCTGATAGAATCCGCACGTGTATCCTAGGATCCGCACGTGTATCCTAGTATTAAAAATTTGCTGCAACTTTTCTCATCAGCAGTCACATGAGAAGCGACGGACCCATTATAAAATTAACATATTTGCATAAAAGTTAAAAAACATCAAATCCTTTTATATTACTTCTTTTTTAGGAACTTACTATCAAGTAGTTCAGCATACATAACATACAAAATCGAAGTAATCGAAAGACATTCATTGACTAAATAGTTTGCTCTCTTCAATAATCTTACTGAAACAACATAAACTACGCCACAGGCAAGTAGCAAATAGCTCGATATTTCCTGTAGAAGAACAAGCTCCTTTCGCTCCCCAGTATAATCAGGGAAAGCCCTTGTCATGACCGCAACACTGCAGAAACAAAACCACCATTCAGAGACCAAACCACAATCATGAAGTAAACTCTTGCCAACTTAGTCACTTTCACAATATTTCATGTTATTCTTTTTTTTTTTTTGGAAATATTCCAATAGATTCATTGCTTCGCAACTAATCCGATTCGGGGCAGGGTCCAGAACTAAGGCTTTAAACCCCTCCCAAAAGTGGTACTGGGGAGATTCGATATTTCATGTTATTCTAAATATTAGTTCCCAATTCATAATTTAATAAATACTAAAATTTATTAGAAACCACTGCTACTCCTACAAAATACAACTATAAACTAACATCATCCGAATTTGATAAATCACCATCATAATTCATAACCTGAGCTAAATTAGAAAATAGTGGAAAGTAAGCATGAGAACTGTGACTAAATCGAACACATACAAGATTTGCAGCATACCCCTCGCAGCCAAATACTCCAAAACCTGTGAAGGATTGATTCGAATATTCAATTAAATTGTCGCCGAGCATGCAAATTAATTGTTAAACCAAAACATCATCACATGATTAACGATGAAAGCAAAACCTGCCAGAACTTGATGATGAAACTCCATTCAGTTTCGGCTAGGACAACGAAACCCGCTATCACAATCGCGTAACATCGAAATATGCCATCGAAAATCTGAAATCCACTCATAATTAATCACTCGAGACCAATTGGCGGATAGAGAGAAAATTGAGAGAGAAAGCTATTACGTACGTCAGATCCGTTTTTGAAGGATCGAATGGCGGAGAGGACATTGGCGACGATGCAGAGAATGGCAGCTAAAGCGGTCACGAAGCTGAAGCACCTAAACACTACCAGAACAGGATCTGCTCTACTTCTCAGTCTGGTAGTGGTGGTGTCGGCGGTGCTCGTCGTTGTGCCCACGTTCTCTTCCTCTACCTCACTGTTTCTCGGCATTTTCTCGAGCTTTCTAGGGGGGGAAAGAAAACAAAATGTTGTTGGAGTTTTCGTTACTTTTTCTGGTTCGAAACGTGTGAGCAAGTTTGAAGGGATTTTGATTCTTAACCGGCCAATGCGGCAATGCCAATGCCATACGAGTGCGAAAGCAACACGTGGTGGATCAAAACCGTCGTTATTATCTACGGTATTGACTTATAGTTAGGCACACCAGTCAAGCACGTGATGTTGTGTGTACGATGCAAATTACAAGAGACCATCCAATGAGCAAAGCCTGCGGTCACGTGATTGGAGCTCTATGGGCGGTCTCATAAGCTGAATTGGGAATGGGAACCACACGATACGCAAAAATTAGGTCTGCCGACTTCCCAACAGTGATTTTCATGTTGCATGAAACTTCAATTCTTATATCGTGATCCTTTGATTTGTATGTACTTTTTTTTTTTTTAATAAATGTGGAGTCCACCACTAGTTGAGTCACAACATGAGAATTGAATTCTCATACAATCAAACCCCAGAAATTATATATGAAAATAGAGTTTATGAACAATGTTGATAGTGAATAAACCTCAAATTAAATATGGATTAATTTCTTTTGAAACAACATTTTTTTTATTTCATTTTCTTCAAATAGAATGTTTTAGTTTTAGTTTTTTTAATTGAATGTTCACGTCAACATCTATCAAATCTATATAAGATGTGAACTCGTTAAGAGTATGTGAAGGGTAAAGTAGATTAATGTAGCAGTGACTGGGTGAGGCAATATTATGCACCACTGCTCAAGGATGACCATCGTGGAGGTTTAGGTAAGCCGAAAATCAAGATAGAGTTATTTACCAAAAAAAAATCAAGATAGACTTTCAATCAGGGTGTATGTAGCATTGGGAAGTGTGCTGGCATGACGGCCCGTGTAAGTGTTAGATTGCATGAATTATCATGTGTGAGGGTCAAACGTGCGTGGCAATAAGAGAGAATAAGGTGCAAAAGGATCATTTGTCCTTTTAATTTTGTTTGGGAGTTTGGAAGGGAAAAAAAAAAAGAAATTCAAGAAAGAGAGAAGAAAAGAAAGGGAAGGAAAATAAAGATATTCTTTTTCTTTGTTTGAGAGTTATAACCTTTCAAATTTGAGAAATTTTAATTTTATGAACAATAAGAGTTTTATAAAAATCTTTAAATTTTTCCTCTCACTTTTATAAACTCATAAACAAGAGAAGAGATTAATAATGTTCTTCCCTTCCTTTTCTTTCTCTTCTAAAACTAACTCCAAAACAAGCGCCTAATGAATTAGTGAGTTGGGTTTAGCAGGCAGTCAAATGGGGAAACCCATGTGAACCCATTCGACCAATAAACCCCTCAACTTAGTAGTCTTAAAAGTCAAAGTGACAAAATTTAGAAGAGGTATTCCGGCTGGTAGGTGTGGTTCTAGTGATGATAGGATGCTGACTAGCCTAGAGGAAGTATACATAATACAACCTAAAGGTTGAGTCAGAAAGTGTGGATAAAAGCTATGAGAACAACATTTGATCTTGTTGTTCCCATGCTAAGTAGATGTCACTGGCGTGATTGTGAGTTTAATCTTCCTTATATTCAAATCTTAGTGGCACTTCAGGATTAACAACAAATTGGAAAATTTTGACCTACCAAATTCACTTTCCCAGTATAGTATATTTCTGTAAATCATAATTTCAGAGTAAAAAAAAATTCTCCTCTACCAAAAGCGCTCTAAGAAATACCAATTGGGATTGTGATAGGAGGCAACAAAAATTTAAAACAAATATAATTTTGGGGAGTCATCACAGTTTTATTAAATTATAAAAAGGTTGAAAAAAACTTTTTTAAAAAATTTAGATGCAATCTATATATAAGGCAGGATCTTTGATATCGATGTCAAACTAAAAAATTTTATACCAAATTTTAACCGTTGATTTTCGTAAATCTAATTTTCTCAATAAATTATAACCATTAGATTGACAAAAATCAATGGTTAAGATTTAATGTCAAACTTTTTAATTTAACACTGGTGTTAAAAATCCTGTTTATATGTGTGTGTCTATATAATAATTGTAATTTCCAATAATTAATAACCGTTGATTGGCTCAAATCAACAGTTAGGATTTTGTGTCAAATTTCAAAGTTTGACACTGGTGTCAAAGGACCATGCACACACACACACATATATATATGGCTTTAACGTTTCTAAAGTGAATGTAGATAAGTTATCTACATTCGCTACCAAAACGACGTCGTTTTAGATTAAAAAATTATAATGAAAACGACTATTATAATCGTGAAATAAATTATAATTACAAAAATACCTTGATTTCCGTCTCAAAACGACGTTGTTTTGGGCTCAATGTAAATAAGTTATCTACATTGACCGTAGAAAAAGCGAACCCTATATATATATATGTAGGGATTTACATTTCTACAGCTGCTGTACGTGCAGCAATCAAATAATTGCCATATATATATTTAAAAGCATTAAATGCGGGGAATCATAAACATATAAAGGATGAAAGCATTAAATATGGAGAATCATAACCATACACCTGTCGTTGCTGTACATAAAGCGGCTGCAGAAATAATTTTACCATATATGTATATATAGAGAGAGGGTTTGATTTTTGTAATTATAAATGATATAAGTTATGTCATTTTAGGAGAGAGATAGACACAATGAATGAAAATCATGATGGACAAAGTGTGTGATTTTTTTTAATTTAAATTTTAAATAAAAATATTTTGTGTCTATCTCTCTCTTAAAATGACATAATTTTATATCATTTAAAATGATAAACACTTTTTTTCATATATATATATATATATATATAGGGTTTAGTGGATGTAAAGTGACTGCACCTAAAGATTGGTGCAGTCATATAAAATTACGTCGTCGTTTTATAATGTAAAATTATTAAATATGAAGAATAATAACTATACAAAGGTAAAAATAAATATAAAACATTAAATATGGGGAATCATAATCATACAAAGTTAGAAATAAATATAATATTTTTATTTTCTACAATTAATTTTAAATGCGAACTTCTTTTATTCCACCTAAAACGACGTAGTTTTTAGGTGACTACACCAATACTTATATACCCTCATATTATAAATCAAATAAAATAGTTTTGCTTTGTATTTCCTTTGTTTAAAAAAAAAAAATACACACTTTTTTCCTTTATTTATTAAATATCATGCATTATTGCCGACCCAATCCAGATAAGACAAAAACTGAGTGTGATTACTGTCGATTGTGATTTGATCAGGAGCAATTCTATTTCAAAACAACACGTAAGGAAACAAAATAATAAAATAGATTAACATGCGAAAGAAAACAAAACATTTATTCATAAATAAGAACATCATCGCTCCAGCGTCACTCTAGTTTCACCCATTGACGCTGCTGTTTGAGATTGAAGAACGTGGGAGATGGAGAAGACCCAAAACGGAGAAGGGAAGGAAGAATCTAAGGCCTCTGGTGGGGATGCTTCTATTTGTGGCTACGATTCTCTTCACCGTCTTCTCAAGGAAAATCTCAACCCACATCACTTTAAGGTACCCACTTTTTGAAGAATTTATGTTCTAAAGTCAATTCCTATTAAGGCTTGACCTCACTGATGCTATATTCATGTCAATAGTTAAGTTTGTATTGGACTTTTTTTTTTTATTGTTTCGTGTCATGGGTTTGTGGGTTTTCCTTTCCATATACAACTTTTTTCAAGGGATCTGACCATAATAATTCCTCTATTTCACGTTGACATGCTGAATTGATCTTGTTTATTTGTTTCAAGTGTCTTATGATGGCAAATTCTGTATATTCTCATATATGAAAACTTAGTATATCAAGCACTTACATCAGCTATATATATATACAGTACACAAAGCATGAGATACACATAAGCTATGCACTTAAACTATAACAGAAAACTATAAACTGAATTCCGTGATTTATGGAACTGATGAAACTGATTTCAACATATCAGTAATCATCCACGTGAGCTTCTATCTTCTCCACGTCAGCTTCTATATTCTGCAACACCCCCCACAAGCTGGACGGTGGATGTCACGAAGTCCAAGCTTGGAAATAATCGAAGAGAAAGAAGATGGATGAAGGGCCTTTGTAAAAACATCAGCTAACTGATTAGAGGAATCCACAGGGAACAATTTCAGCAAGCCAGCTTGAAGTTTCTCCCTTGTAACATGGATATCAATCTCAATATGTTTGGAACGTTCATGGAGAGTTGGATTTTTAGCAAGGTAAATGGCAGAAACATTATCGCAGTATACATGAGCTGCTTGAGAACATGGAACATGTAAATCAAGAAGTAAGTAAGTGATCCATTGGAGCTCACATGTCAGCGAAGCAAGAGCTCTATATTCGGCTTCACTAGAGGAACGTGAAACAATAGGTTGCTTTTTAGAACGCCAAGATATCAACGAAGAACCAAGGAAAATACACATTCCTGAAACGGATCTCCTTGTATCTGGGCAACAAGCTCAATCGGAGTCTGTGAAACCACTTAGCTGCAGTGAATTGGATGCTGGAAAAAATAAACCAGTTGAAGGAGATCCTTTTATATATCGCAAAACACGATTGGCTGCTAACAAATGATCAGAAGTAGGGAAACCAACAAACTGACTGAGTTGTTGGACAAAGAATGAAATATCCGGTCTTGTAGTCGTTAAATATAACAAATGACCAATAAGACGACGAAAGGAGGAGGCTTCAATTTCATTAAGAGCATAGCCTTGATTGCGAGACAGATGAAGTGAAGGAATCATGGGTGTAGAGGAAGGCTTGGCTCCCAAAAAACCACTGTCTGATAGAATTTCTAATGCGTATTTCCTCTGATTCACAGCCATTCCATCTTTTGAACGTGAAATCTCCAAACCAAGGAAATATCTCAAATGACCCAGATCCTTTATACGAAACTGTGCATCCAAAGCATGTTTAACTCGTTGTATTTCAGTTCGGTTGTCCCCTGCTAAGACAACATCATCAACGTACACCAACAGAGCAGTGAAAGAAGCATCAGTTCTTCTGACAAATAATGAGTGATCTACCATTGATTGTATATAACCGAGAGCAAGAAGAGCAGTGGAAAGCTTTGAATGCCATTGTCTACTAGCCTGCTTAAGGCCATAAATTGATTTTCGTAACTGACAGACTTTACCAGGAGAGGAGGTAATACCCGGTGGCAAAGTCATGTACACTTCTTCGTTCAAATCCCCATGGAGAAAAGCATTATTCACGTCTAATTGTTCAACTATCCAATGTCGAGTAGCAGCAATAGAAAGTAGCACCCGAATAGTAGTCATCTTAGCTACGGGGCTGAAAGTATCAAAATAATCCACCCCTTCTAGTTGGGTGTATCCTTTGGCAACCAATCTCGCTTTACAACATTCAGCTGAACCATCAGCCTTATATTTCACTTTATAAACCCATTTGCATCCAATTGTATGTTTCCCAGGAGTAAGAGAAACCAAGTCCCATGTATGATTGAGTTCCAAAGCAGAAATTTCAGCTGCCATGGCTTGTTGCCGGCTAGGGAGCTTGGAGGCTTCAGTGTATGATTTTGGTTCTGTTATAGTTGTGACATTGAAACAAAACTGGGTGTATGCAGGAGAGCATGAATCATATGATAAAACAGATGAGAGGGGGTAAAGGGTACCTGAGGAAGATTGAGTACGTGAAATAACATGGTTGCAGTGGAAGTCTATGAGATATCCTGGTTGCCTTCGAATACAAGAGGATCTACGAGGTGGTATGGGGGGAGGAGTATCATGTATAATATCAGTAGGGGAACATGGCTCTGTTTCTGGAGCAATTGTGGGAAAAGAAATGAGTCTAGGGAATATTTCATCAAATGAAGTATGGGAAGGAGTTTGAAAAATAGGTGAAATAGGTGTGTGTATGTCAATAAAAGGAAACACCAATTCATAAAACTCAACATTTCTGGATAAGAATATGCGTTTAGAAAGCAATTCAAGTAGAATATGTCCCTTGGTACCCTCTTGATAACCAAGGAATATGCATTTCTGTGCTCTAGGGGCAAATTTTGATCGATGAGATTGTAAGGTGGAAGCATAGGATAGGCAACCAAAGGTTTTAAGATGATCAAATGAAGGTGGTTTCTGGTATAAGGTTTCATATGGTGTTCTGTAAGATAAGAAATGGGTGCAAAGGCGGTTGATTATGTGTGTGGATTGAGCAAGAGCATAGCACCAGTAAGGATGGGGTACTTTAGATTGAAAAAATAGGGCACATGTGACATTCATAAGGTGTTGGTGTTTCCTTTCAACAATGCCATTTTGTTGAGGGGTTTCTAAACATGTAGTTTGATGAAAAATGCCTTTGTTTTTGAAGTAATCATGCATAAGGAACTCTGGTCCATTGCCACTACGGATAGCCTTTACTTTGGTTTGGAATTGGTTTTCATGAAAGGTTATAAATTGTTGAATGGATGCTCGAACATCTGATTTATGTTTAAGAAAGACAAGCCAAGTATAGCGTGAGTAGTCATCAACAATAGATAAAAAATATCTATGTCCATGAACAGAAACAACAGAAGCGGGTCCCCATATATCCATATGTAACAGTTCAAATGGATTATTTGTTTTACTAGTACTTGAAGAAAATGGCAGTTTGCGCTGCCTAGCATAATGGCATATGTCACAAGGTGATACAATTTTATAAGGAATAACAGGAAATTTGGAAGACATGTGTTTTAAAGAAGTGGGGGATATATGGCCTAGTCTAAGGTGCCAAAGAATGTGATCATTGCTACTGGTTTTAACACTAGAATGACAGAAAGCATCATTATTTGAAGTGGTTGTATCTTGTATTGGAGAGGCAGCCAAGATGAAAAGACCTCCATGTTGTTTAGCTGTACTAATCTTCCTCCTGGTAGGCTCCTGTTTAATGTAGCAATGGTCATTAGAGAAAACTAAGTAACAAGGTAAGGTTGAAAGGAGTTTATTCACAGAAATCAAGTTGACACAAAATTGAGGTACATATAGAACATCATATAGTATCAAATCATTTGAAAAATGAATATTTCCTGCATATTTTGCCATAACTTTGGAACCGTTTGGCAAATTAATGGACACTGGGTTTATTTTATGGAATGAGGCAAGGTTATAACATGAACAAGTTATATGATCAGTTGCGCCAGTATCAAGGATCCAGCGCAACTGTCTACCTGTCAATCCATTTGTTTCAGCAGTCAGTGCAGAACTTTGGACGAGGTTAGCATGGATAGATTCCTTTGATGATTACAAGACTTGCATAAGATCATGAAATTGCTGAGAGGACAAAGTAACAGTCGAACCTTCATTACTGTTTATAACAGTTGAACCTTCATTAGAATTGGCTTGAACAACCGTATTTGCAACCTGAGCTCTCTTTGGTTTATAACCTGGAGGAAAACCATGTTTAAAATAACAAGTTTCTACAGTGTGGTTAGTCATTTTGAATGTATACAAAACTTTGACTCTCTACCACGTCCTCTGCCTCCAGTATAAGAAAAACGTCCACGACCTCTATTTGAAGTGAAACTTCTTCTGTTATCGTCGACTTCACTGAGAAAAGCCTTTGAGTTCTCATCTGTTGTGGAATTAAAATGAAATTCCCTTTCTTGTTGAGACAACAGTGAGAAAACTCTATTAACATCAGGTAGAGGATTCAATAGCATGACTTGAGATCGGACATGAGCATATTGCTCATTTAATCCTTTCAAGAAACGGATTGTGTAATCTTGATCTCTTCGAGTACGAATCTCAGAAAGAGCGGGACAAGTACACAGGATATCACATTTGCAAGCAGGTAGAGGCCTCAGGTTATCAAGTTCATCGCACAAACCTTTCAGATTCATGAAATAGTTAGCTATTGTTCGATCTCCCTGCCTCAATTTGTATACATCCTCCTGTAGATCAGAAATTCTGAACATATTTGCTTAAGAGAATCGTTCCTTCAAGTCTTTCCATGCATCACTTGCACGATCAATCCATAGAATAGAATGAAGAACAGATGTAGAAATAGAACGGTGGATCCATCCTAACACAGTGGTGTTGCAACGTTGCCACGCACTATAAGAATGATCCATTTCTGGTGGTGGTGGTAAACTTCCATCAATGAAACCGATTTTATTCTTTGACAAAAGTGCCATAGACATAGCTCTAGACCACATGTGGTAATTCTTTCCATCAAGTGGTGTTGAAACTAAAGCTTGTGATGGATTTTCATTGGGATGAAGATAATATGGATGTGATGAGTTGGTGAAAAAATCGAAAGGCAAACTTTGATTCGCCATTGATGAACTTCTTCAGAAAGTATATGAAAAACGAGTGAGAAAAGAAAGAGGCTGAGAATCAGAGCTTCTTGAGAAGCTCTGATACCATCTTATGATGGCAAATTCTGTATATTCTCATATATGAAAACTTATTATATCAAGCACTTACATCAGCTACATATATATATATACAGTACACAAAGCATGAGATACACTTAAGCTATGCACTTAAACTATAACAGAAAACTATAAACTGAATTCCGTGATTTGTGGAACTGATGAAACTGATTTCAACATATCAGTTATTATCCACGTGAGCTTCTATCTTCTCCACGTCAGCTTCTATATTCTGCAACAAAGTGCTCCTTTGATTTTTCTGATTTGGTTGTTTGTATAATTAGCTATATATTTGATGTAGCTTTGCATTTCCAGCATTATTTGAACAATTGGGTAATTTCTATTTTATTTTTTATTTTTTGAAAATTGAACTTCCTGGATACTTGTGTACTTGCTTTTGAAAATTATTAAAACTTCATAGTAAATGGATCATGTATCTTTCTTCTTAAATTGTGTCGATGCATTGGTGCTTGCATCAATTACAAATTAAATTGGCCTCTTTTCTGATGGCTTTCCACGCTAGTACTGTGTTGCAGGAAGTGAGCCGTTTGCTTACTGGGCTTAATTGTGGAAAAGTACTTGAAACAATTGCTCTCCCAGAATCTGCTACAGCTCTCTCTGTGGAACATGGTTTTGATCTCCAGGTACGAATACAATCCACTTTTCTTTATATGATTCAGTTTTTTCATCATAAGGTGAAAGGAATGTTGGATTAATTTGCTTATACTACTTCCTTAGAGTGACTGATTTGTATCTGAAACAATTGTCTCGATACCTCAAGAATATCTGTCTGATGTTTTTTCATTCATGGATTTTGTGTTTTACTTCTGTTGAAATATTGCATATATATCTCTAGGAAATGAGACTGCAATTTGCATTTGGGAATTTTTGACACACGTGAGAAAAAAATTGGTTTCTCAGTTTTCTTAATAATTATTATGAACATTAAACATTTTAGAAAGTGAATTTCACCTTTCTTACATGTGTTTCCAGCAATGTTCAGAAGGATGTGAATTCACTTGGCTTAAGCTAGATGAGTTGTTTTTATTTATACTGCCAAGTCCACATCCTGCAGGAGCAAAAATGGAAGGAACGAGTATAAGGATGCATTCAGGCATACCTTATAGCAAAATGCACTGACACTTCTCATTTCTCCTTTTTCACTCACTTCTCATTTATAGCAAAATGCACTGACACTTCTCACTTCTTGTCTGGCTGTTGTCTGTTAAATCATTGTTGGAATCTATTGGCCCTTATCAGATAAATAATATATGGTTTTAGTTTAGTCCATTAGTTAATCACAGTTTCTTTCTTCAATATAGAAACACTATCAGTTATTTCTGCTTCATTTCTGGTTGATCTGATGATTTTAAGTTGATTTCTTTCAGGCGTTTGGCTTTCATGCTGACAAAGAACTATTAAGAGAACCTCGAGTAGTGAGGGTTGGTTTGATTCAGAACTCTGTTGCCCTTCCAACAACTGCTCACTTTGTGGACCAAAAGCAGGCTATCTTTATGAAACTAAAGCCAATTATTGATGCTGCAGGTTCTTCCGGGGTCAACATATTATGCTTGCAAGTAGGTTGCATGAGTATGAGCATTTGTCAATTGATTTCATATTGTTATCTGAAAATCTTAAATGTTTTTGTATAATTCCATTGCAGGAAGCATGGATGATGCCATTTGCCTTTTGTACACGAGAGAAGAGGTGGTGTGAATTTGCAGAACCAGTTGATGGGGAATCAACAAAGTTTTTGCAAAGCTTTGCACTGAAATATAATATGGTGATTATAAGCCCAATTCTAGAGAGGGATATTAACCATGGAGAGGTTATATGGAACACTTCCGTTGTAATTGGAAATCACGGCAATATAATTGGAAAGCACAGGAAGGTAATTGCCTAAGCATTCTGCTTCTAATTTTAATGCAAAAGCTTCTCTTTCAGCTATCTCATGAACACATAAAATTTGGCAGAACCATATACCAAGAGTTGGAGACTTCAATGAGAGCACATACTATATGGAAGGAAATACTGGCCACCCTGTATTTGAAACAGCATTCGGAAAGATTGCCATTAATATATGTTATGGTAGGCACCATCCTTTAAATTGGTTAGCCTTTGGCTTGAATGGTGCTGAGATTGTTTTCAACCCTTCTGCCACTGTTGGAGAACTCAGCGAACCAATGTGGCCAATTGAGGTTAGTTGCTTTATATTTATGGAAGGACAAACTAGACTCTTCTCAGCTAATTCTTGTTTCTGTTGCTTAGATTGAATATAACTCTTTCATAATGGGTTACAACTTATAACTATGATTTGATGCTAATGCCTATAGATTGACAGTTATCATGAAACTAGTGCATAATAGTATATGGCTTAGAAGTGTTATTGTTTTTTCAGGCACGTAATGCTGCAATAGCAAATAGTTACTTTGTTGCTTCAATCAATCGTGTTGGGACTGAGACATTCCCCAATCCATTCACTTCTGGTGATGGGATGCCAGCACATGCAGATTTCGGGCACTTTTATGGATCCAGTTATATTTCAGCACCAGATGCATCCTGCACGCCACCTCTATCTCGTAACAGGGATGGCTTGTTAATAACAGACATGGATCTTAACTTATGTAGGCAGGTTAAAGACAAGTGGGGTTTCACAATGACTGCGCGATACGAGTTGTATGCAGAGACACTCTCCCACTATGTGAAACCAGACTTTGAGCCCCAAGTCATCAGTGACCCCTTATTGCACAAGAAGTCCTTGTAATCTGTACTAGAAAGTGTTATGATATGTGTTTACTGTTTTTAGTTTAGACTGTGCTTTGTGGTGGCATGGCCAAAAGATACAACCTTAAATAAAGTTTCAATGTTACAGATTGATATATTAAAATCAGGTCTTGAAAGACTATAAAGAACAAAGGAAAACTGGAGGGAAAAAAAAAATCAGTTCTGTTGAAGGATTTTATTGCTGAAGCATTTCGGTATGTATTGTGTCATTTGTGTGTGTATGCATTCCAATATTCAGTAAAAGGTTTGAGTGGGCACTTGTTTGGTGATGTCTCTTTGAATTATGGTGGAAGTATGTAATCAGTGTGTTCTTGAATTTCTTCCTAATTTTTTACTTATTGTGTTGGTGCTAGTACTGGAATTTAGGGAAAGATGAGTCTTCAATGTGTGATCCATTGATTTGAGCTATTCTTTGGATTTGTACTGGTGTGTCTTCAATTTGACAGAATGTGCTTGTATGAGCCATTGTCTTAAGTCTTCAATTTGTGCTGGTAAGATTAAAAAAAAAGGCCTTGGAGAATAAGGAAAGATAAAAAGTGAATGGATCAATTTATTTATTTTTTCTTTTTTATTGCTTTAATAAAAAATAATTTTTGGGAATCTAATGTAGCACATAGGAGGGACTAGATGGGAATTAAAGAAATATATGTTAGTAAATTTTGATTCCAACGTGCCCATCCAAATTGCTATAAATACTAACGAAAGGATATGTCAATCTCAAAAAAAATGAAATATTATGATAAACATATGAAAATAAAATGAAATAAAACTGAATTCCTTATCTAAGCTATTAGGAATTAGTTTCTTACTTGTTTTCTATGTTTTCTTTATCAAATGGAATATTTGTTGCGTTAATATTAAAAGTCTTGTCGTTTCCACATTTGTCTCTTGGTGATCATTTTTATTATTAAGGAAATAAAATAAATAAAAAGAGAAACATAATAAATAGTCATATTTTTAATAAATGTTCAAAATTAATATCAATCAATCCATATTTTTGTGAAGAACGAGCTAAATTTCTTTTCTAAAAAACTAAAATCTAACTTTTGCAATTTTATTTTCTTTTATAAATTATGTTAATTTCATTTAATTGTTGTTTTTATTTTACATTTAAAAAATAAAAAATAAATTTTTTAAATTTATTAAAAATTTACTCATTTGATATTTTTTTTTTATAATATACGAAATATAAAATTAAGTTTTCATTCATTACGCAAATATCAAACAACTCAACCTCAATTGAATTTATCAGTTTATACAATTTTTTTTTTAAGTTTGGTGTTTGTCATTTTAAATGATATAAGTTATCTCATTTTAGGAGAGAGATAGATACAGAAAAATAGAAATCGTGGGAGAAAGAAAGTGACAAACACTTTAAATAAAAAAAAAAAAAATGTGTCTAAAGGACAGAGTGTTATGTCATTTAAAATGACAAACACTTTTTTCTTTTTCTTTTTTAATTCCAAACCCAAATTAATTCAACCAGTAGTTTACTACAACAACAAAAATCAGCCGGTAAATTGAAAGAGTTGCATTTTAACCTTCTCCTTGAAAAAAATTATTAATTTTAGTGCAACCTGTTATCCCAAAGTTTTTACTTGTTTTTTAATTAAACGACCAAACCCGTCAATAGATTACCCACCATGAAAAGGAAAAAAAAAAAAAAAGAATCCAAAAAGGGTAGAAAGGAAATTCATCCTTATCCCTTAAATATTGCTGAAAAATCATTTCAGCCATGAGGAACCATCCACAGTGAAGTTGCAAGCCTCATGTTTCATTTCTTCTATTTAGAAAGAGCATTTAGCAACAACAACACCAACATACATAACCATATCCCAAACTTTCTCTTTCTCTATCTCTATCTATCAATCAAACACAGTAATATACTCTCATCTCATCTCATCACATCATATCATGGCTTCTTACATATATCCTCCTCCTCCTCCCAAACTCACCTTCCCTAACCAAAAACTCTCCATTCCTTTCCCTCTCAGAAAACCCTCACTTCTTCCATTCCCTTCCCAATCCCTCTCTCGCTGCCTCAACTCCGGCTCCGATAACCACAACAACGCCGCCTCTGACCGCCGATGGGATTCCCTGCTCCACGACTTCGTCAGGAACGCCGTCAAGCACTTCGATTCCATCATGAAATCACTCACCAACGACCGCACCGTCGATGCCAAAGAAGATGATGACGACGACGACGATGAAGAATGGGATTGGAATCGGTGGCGCGAGCATTTCGATGAGGTCGACGAGCTCGAGCGTCTCCTCTCCATTCTCAAGGTACGCGCGCGACGTAGCTGCGATTTCAATTTGTGCATATTTGCGTTGAGTTTTGTTTTTGCGGTGGTTATACATATCATATCCTGAGTCGATGTTAATGTGTTTCCTGATTCGTAAAAGAGAGAGAGAGAATTTTGATTTTGCTTCGTGAAAATCTTCTCTTGAAAGATTTAACTACTTTTCTGAGGAATGGTCATATGTAGAATCAGGAAATGTATCTAAGAACCAAAACCTACAGTTCGAGTAGTTCACAACTCTAGGATACTCTCCTGTCTCCATAGTATGCCATCTTAACTCTGTTCCAATTAAAATAAGCATTCATCTTTTTTTTACCCCCAAAGCCTTGGTAGGCTTGCAGTCCAAGTAAGGAAGTTATTTCTCAATTTTCTTGCATTCTTTAATACAAAAGTCTTCCCGTGACTAGACACTCTACGTGGCCTACCTTTAAATCAACCAGGTTAATTAATTGCTTCCAATTAATGTTTATTAGCAATTTACCTTGGTTCACGAAAGACTGTTGATTGTCATAATCGAAAACAATTTGCTTTCAGTTGACACTTAACAGTCATGTAAACCACATAGTCCTGAAGGAGGTTTTGTCAAATTTCAATGGCAACTCTTAATGTTACATGAAGAAAGTAGAAACCTATTATTATTGTCCATGGGAACTCTCATGCCATTTCCACACTTATGTGGGATTTCTTTGAACAGTATATGATTCAAATTATTGGCTAACTTTTTGGTCTTGTGACAATTAATTGCTGACATGATTTTGTGCTCAACAGTCTCGGTTAAGTCGTGCTGTATATTTCGAGGATTTTGAAGATGCTGCTAGGCTTAAGGTGGCAATTGCAGCTGCAGCTAACAATGACAGTGTTGGAAGAGTGATGTCTCATCTCAGTGTAGGACTTTTGATTTCCATGATGGTTTTCTGATAAACGAAGGCTTTTTTTGGGCTCTAGTTTTTGTGCTTTCTTTTTTCACAATTTTGTGAGTATTTCACGTATATATATGCATGTTTTCTAATCTTTCAGAGAGCCATAAAAGAAGAGCGGTATGGTGATGCAGCTTTTTTAAGAGATAAAGCTGGTGCTGGACTTGTGAGTTCTCATAGAATTTGTTTAATGACAACTTGCATGAATATCTTTGCAATGTGGTGGGAATAGAACGTCACGTGAAATGTAAAAGGGTGACCTTTGTAATACTTGTACCTGCTTAAATTGCTGTTTTGAAAATATGTTTGCACATCAAGACAAGACCTTTCTTGCCACTTTATTCATTGTTAGGAGGAGTTGTATGCAGACTAAATTTATTCTTAGAGATTGCAATCAGCTGTGGAATCTAATGATAGTCAATATTAGGAGATAGCAGATAAGAATCCTTTTATGGGCATGTTTGGTTTGCTTATTATTGTGCTTTTATATTGTAGGGTACATTTCTTTTATTACTATGGCTAGAATTATGGTTCTAATTCACTTACATATGAATTGGGGGATTGTATCCTTCATTTTCTTTTAAATGGATTTAGTGTTGCATGCTCTGCCAACAAATTGCACTGTTTTTAACATCTATTTTGACTTGTAATGTTGTTGTATCTCTTGAAATCATGAATAAAATTATTTAAAATTACATATGTATTGGCTCTTGCAGGTGGGTTGGTGGGCTGGTATTTCAAAAGATGTTAATGATACACATGGTCTTATTATCCGCATAACTCCAGAGCATGGAAGATATGTGGCAAGGAGTTATAGTCCTAGGTAATTTCTATATCTTGAGGATAAAAGCATGTTAGGAAATTTGCCTCTTTCATGAAAAGGAAAAGCTTATTTTGGTAAAGGAGATGCTCCACCACATTAGCACTGTACTATTAAGGAACGGATTATGTGAACGTCTCTAAAATATTTGGGTTAGAGTTCTGCTACCTTAGATATGTGGCAATTGGTAATTCATTATTTTTTATGATTGTCAATTATTTCAAATTATACCCAACCTGAAATTAAAAGCCATGAACTATGGGACCTTTTGTTGGGGATGGGGGAGTAGGGAAGGGTGTTCAGGAATAAGTTGAATTATTTTTGTGCTTATCCTTTCTGCTAGTCTTAGCCCCAAAGTAGCTTATGTGGGTTTGAAAAGCTGTTTTAATAAGGTCATCCAAACATGGTCAAAATGCTTCATATGTTCCTATTGCAGTAGATAAACTAAAATAAGCTCATACGAATGGGCCTTAGCTTATGTGTTTGTACATTTGTAGCTCTAGCTCCTTTGTGTATAAATAATGATACTGGAACAGTAACTAGTTACTAGTTGGATTTGTGTCTCCAGCCTTTTTCCCCCTATTTTAAATTTAGCTGGTATGTATTCAAGACGGTGGGAAATTGAGTTAGCCAACAGCTCCCTAGTGAGATTAAGGTGTGATAATCAATCAGCTATGCATATTTTCTCTAATTCAACGGAGGACAAAATGTATTGAAGTAGATTGTCATTAGCAGAACCCTGTTTCTACTTATATTTAACAACCAAATAATAATTATCAGATTCATTTACAAGGCTTCAACGTGGGTTAGGACTTATTTCATCTGTAACAAACTGTGATATCTATACTCCAGCTTAAGGGGGAGTATTAAAGATACGGGATGCTCATTTGCATGTACACTTGTGACACTATTTCCTATCATTCTTGGTATATGCATTCAGTTAGTGGGAGCCTAATCAGTAAGGTTAACATTTAAGTGTTCTCTCTCTTTCTCTGTGTTCACACGATAATATTACAATGACTTGAAATGAAACATCTTTTTCTACCACCATGTTTGTACAACATTTTCTGCTTGATACAAACAGAATAGATACCAGTCGATGTACATAATTGGTATGTCTTATGTGCATAAACTGAGAAGATCAATGGTGGGAGGGATTGTTGGGAAGTAATATTGTTAGTAATATAATATAATATATAAAATTATTTATCAGTCTTCACCTGACAGTTTAAGCTTTTGGGAGAGTTTGTTGCTTGACATGTATATTGTTAGAAATATCATATAATATATAAAATCATTCATCTACCTTCATTTAATAGCTCAAGCTTTTGGGAGAGTTTGTTGTTTGATATTGTACCAGAGCCTTTTTGACCTATGTGGTCCAAAGTTCAATCTTTGCCACCCCCATTCTTCTAATAAATATTTAATTGTGGAATTCCTTAACATAGGTAGGTGGGTCTGTGTATTGTCCACCCTTTAAGCCTAATGGACTCTTGTGTGAGGGGCGCGTTAGAAATATAATATGATACATAAAATTATTCGTCTATCTTTACCTAACAACTTAAGCTTTTAGGAGAGTTGGTTGCTTGACAAATATGATGATTATTTTATCATAGATCAGTTTGTTGAATTACATAATTGTTATTGAGTTAAGTTGCTTTGACCTTAACTCCCTCTTCAAATTATGCCTGTTCAGTACTGACAAGCTAATTTATTGTATAGTTTTTCTTGCTTTGCTAACCTTGTCGTTGACTGTCTTCTAAAAATTTAGCTGGTATTATTTTAAATTAATATGAGGATCTGTAGCTATATAACCTTTGACCAATTTGATGAGCTAGCAGCCTAGCACTTTTTTGTCATGCTTCCTTCAGCACCTTTAGGTGCTTGTTCATATTGATGAACACCTTGGTCAAGATGAGAAACTTATCTATGATTGAATGAAGTAATTAAATAGAAAATTGAAAATTCCTAAATAATAGAGAAACAAGTATTACTCTGGGGCATATTATTCTCGGGAGTCTAAGTGCTGAATTTTATGAATCGGATAGACCAGGGGTTTTATGCTCAGAGGTCATTAAACGAAGATGTATACAGGATACTATAGTTCTCTATATAAAATTTACAGGCATTTTCAGTGCCATCTGTTTTCCTTGTATAAGATCTATCTTGTGGAGTTAATTTATTATTTAATGGTCTTGGAAACAACTTTTCACTTTTGGATGAGTTTCAGGGCATTTATGTACGTGAGATGTTTTAGGTGGTCCTGCTACTACCTTGTGTAGCTTGTGGTGTTAAAACTTTTGCCATATTTTTGTAGGCAACTTGCAACATCTGCTGCTGGTGTTCCTCTATTTGAATTTTTTCTTACAATGGATAAGAAAGGTGAATTCAAGTCACAGGTATCTCTTCTTGAATGACCCCATAACTTCCATTATTTTCTGTTGGGATCATTGCAATATAAACATCTGGTAATCATCTCCAAAATTTGAGCTAAATTACATAAAAATAGATAAAATTAATTGCACTGAAGATGGATTCTCTTTCCCCATTCAAAATTTTGCTATCTGAATATACGAGTATGCATAGGATCATCTTCTATGCTGACTGTTAAACAGGTTTCCTGTTTGTTATTCTGTTTAAAAAGCCAATATATGTTTAATCATGGGGATGATGGTGGTGCAACTGGGATTACATGCAAGAATGAAGTGTATTGCTTGTAGTTCACAATCCAAATTAAGTTTCAATTTATGGTTTATTTCATATACTAATGTATCCTAATTATTAACATGAGTATAATAATTTGCTTGTAGATATTCTGTTCCAAAAAATATAAACAGTATGGAATGCTAACCAATGTGGATTTTTAGTGCTGAGTTGGATTTTATTAATAGAAATGGAGCCCTTTTGGGTTTTATTTTTTTAGTAGGAAGAAATGCAGATTCAAACACATTTGGGCAATTTTACTTCCTAGTGTTCATATGGAGCTTCTATTGTCTTAGTGTCAGTGGACAAATGTGATCTTAGAAGTTATAATCATAAATAAAGATTATTGTGGGGAATGTTGTCACACTTTTGTGACATTTCTGACTTCAGTTATGGGCATCTATTTGATTCTTTTGGATTCATGCTGAGTTCCCCTAAATACAAAGGATTCCTTTTGGCATTTTAATTTTTAACTGTTTTGTTTCTGTAATCATAGTATGGGGCAAAGTCGCAAAACTTAGTTGAATCATATTGTTGAATTTGTACTTGTTTGTGGCCCACTCATTTCATATGAATTGAAATTATTGAGAAATTTATAATATATATATTCCTACATTGGGAATGCTAACCTCTTCTCCTTCATGTGTAGGTTAGCACTCTACACACACTTATTGGTAAAAAAACTACTTTTGTCTCTTTCAACTCAACTTAAATCAGTTAAATGCCACTTTCTAATTTAGTAATTAAACACTAATATTAAATAAGTAAATGTTTATCTCTCCTAATAGTTTCCAAATTTATAAATCTTTCTCTCTCCAAATATCTACCAATCTCAAATTTTTATCTCATTATTATTTATAAAAATTAATAATGCAGTAATTTGCTTTCCTTTTTATTAAAAAAAGGAGAGGCCTCAATGTATTATTTTTAAAATAGTAATAAAATAACACAACTATAATTTATTTCTCTATCATTAAAAAATAATAATAAACATTATGCATGTACAATTGATGCCATGTAATTTATTGTTATCATTGATGTTTAAAATTATCTATTATTGAATTATTGACTGAACAAGATTAATATTTTTAATTGATAAAATTTATGAAGTTGGTAGTTATTAGGATTTAGGAAAGATGGGGGTTTAATTGGTTGTTATTAAGAGAGAGAGAACTATTTATGACAATACGGGTTATTAGGAGAGAGAAATAGTTATTAATTTGTGTGAAGCAACCATCTCACCCAAAAGCGTAAACTGGTGGGTAAGGCTATATTAATGGTTTTATATATCTCTAACACACCCCCTCACACAAGAGCCCATTGGGCTTAAAAGGTGGATAATGCACAGGCCCACCTACCTGTGCTAAAAGAGGATCGAACCCGTGACACTGAGGCTCTGATACCATATAAAGAACTAATTCAACCCAAAAGGTTAAGGTGGTGGGTGAGGTTACATTAATGGATTTATATATATCTAACAATTTGATTGATTAGGTTGTTAATTACTAAATAGACATCGTTGTTTAGTTGAGCAGAAAGTAATAAAAATGGTTTGTTACGTACAATAAAAGAGTATACAGTGCTAACCTACGCATGGAGAGTAGTAATACACTTGTTAACTGCATCCAGAATAGAGGAAAAAGTTTCAAATGAATATTTTTTTGTTAACTTTCCGAAGTTTGGGATTAAACCAGTTTGTTGCTGTTTCAAGTTTTGCTAATACCTCGTCATTGTTTTATTTTCTCTATTCAAAAGGTACCATACAATAGAGACAGTAAAATAAAATAACAATTATGATAACTATTTTACGAAAGAAAAGAGAAAAAAAAAATTATAATAACAATAATACAGAAGTTATCCGATAGCAATACTGCAATGGGATATTCTTTTTTCAGGCTGTGTACTTGAAGCGAAGAGGGGCTTTCAATGGTCCTCCAACAACCTCCTCTAAAGCATTGGATGCTGCTTCGAGATTGAGTTCAGTGGAGTCTACTGAAGATAGAAGTGAGCTGTTTGTTGTGAGTACTGAAGATATGGATAGTGGAGATGAGAGGAAAGATGGCTCTGATCCTGCTGAGGGTATGCCTGGATTTCAGAATGTCTTGAAAGATATGATTCCTGGTGTAAAGGTGAAGATTTTCAAGGTAATAACTCCAGAGAAAGTAGACAAGGATCTTATATCTAAGGTGATTGAGCAGATAATTGAGGAAGAAGAGGATGAAGACGAAGATGAAGACGAGGATGAAGATGCAGATGAAGATGGTGATGATGATGAAGGTGAAGAGAATGAAAATGATACAGAAAGTCTGGAACTGGACATTAAGTCTGAAACTGACCGAGAGGGAGATGATGGGATTGAAATAAATCCTGGTCTGGGAACTTTTGAACGTGAAGAACAGAATGAAATTGCAGTCAAAGTTGTCATTGGTGGTCTTGTTCAGAAACTTTCCAGCAATTTATCCACTAGAAATTTGCTTCGAGTCCCTGCTAAGCTGGAGATGAAGGGGCGTGGTTCATTTTCCTTTACTGTTGAAAAAGAAGTCAACCAACAGGATGGTCATGATAAAGGAAATTCTCCATTGGATAAGTCAACTAAGTTTCAAGGTCGACGCAGAGCTGATCATGTTATTTTTGACCTTGCTAAATTCATTGGAAGGGGAAAGGTACCCTCAAAGGTAGGTTCAAGTAGTTGAATAGAAACTGCGAACTATTATTTTTTTCAGAATTCAATATCCTTGTAGAATCTAGCCATAAGTGGTTTAGACTATAATGCTTTGCTTCATTTTTTAGGTGCTGAAAGAGGTGGGAGAATTAATAAGTCTCACTCTAAGCCAAGCCCAGAACCATCAACCATTATCTGGGTCAACTATTTTCAATCGCATTGAAATACCAACTTCGTTTGATCCGTTAAATGGTGATTTTCTAGAGAACTTATCGATTTGATTATTATGAGGTGCTGAATATTGGCTGCTGACACTAGGATGTTTGTTTTTAATCTGTAGTGTAATGTAAACTAAGTAACAAATATTTTCATTTTCATCAGGTCTATACATTGGTGCACATGGGCTTTACTCATCTGAAGTTATTCAAATGAGACGTAGAGTTGGTCAGTGGCAAGAAGAGGATGGGGCTAAGGAGCCTTCGGATCTTGAGTTTTATGAGTATGTAGAAGCGTTGAAACTAACTGGGGATCCTTATGTACCAGCTGGCCAGGTAATATTGTAAAAAACATTTGATTGACTTGTACAAACTATTAAGAGGGCTATTAGATTATAATGTAAACCATTAAAGAGGCCCTCACTCAACAGCTTAAGCTTTTAAGTTGAATTGGTTCTTTACATGATATTAGAGCCTCGTATCCCAGGTTTGATCCTCGCCGCCTCCTATTTTCTTTGTGGAATTTCTTAGCACTGGTAAGCTGGGCCTGATGCATCATATACCTTTCAAGCCCCATGGCTCTCTTGTGAGTAGGAGTGTTAGAGTATAATATAAACCACTAAAGAGGCCCTGACCCAACAACTTAAGCTTTTGGGTTGAATTGGTTCTTTACATTGGCGAGCCTAGAGTAGTGGTAAAACTATTCCTTTGTGATTGAAAGATCACGGGTTAAAATCCGAGAACAGTTTCTTTGCAAATATGCAAGAGTAAAGCTACATATAAGAATTACCCTCATCTTATCCTCTCCAATCAGGGTTTAATGGGGAGTGGTTTTTAGTACAAAATTATTTTATTTATTTTTTAAATCTCCGTCCTTTACTACACTCTGTTGTAATATTGGTTTCTCTGTATGCAATCTGAGCTCCCAGGTGAAAGAGGGAGGGGGGGGGGGGGGGGAGGTTTTGAAGATGCCACCTCTGCATATAGAAAATGCAATGTTTGATTGTGCTAGCAAGAATTTGAGGATGTTGTTGCTGAGAAATATGCTACGAGCTGGAAACCTTGATAGCAATGGTTTTTCTTATGGAAATTAATTATGCTTTTGATTGCAATGGTTTTTCTTATGGAAAGTTATTATGCTCTTGATGACCGGAAACCTTGATAGCAATGGTTTTTTATGGAATGTTATTATGCTCTTGATAACTGGATTTATCTACCTTGATTGCGTGTACTCGCTGGATACTTCTTATTTTCTATCAATTTTAAAACATTTTTAAAATATACATTAATATTAATAGTAACTAATACTATTTGAATAAATTTTAAGGTAATAAATGATTATTTGAAGTCAAATAAAAAGCATTACAAAGCTAAATATTATTAAATATTTTCTTTATCAATAAATAAAAAATATTGATAATTTAATTGATAAATATATGGAAAAAGTTGTATATAAATTTTTAAAAATACTTAGAAGACTTGTTTTAACACTGTGAATTGGTTACTTTAGTCATGCTTTGTATAGTAGGAAGATGAGTTCAAACACCTTCACTATTATTTTTTATCTGGAGAAGGTCTAGAGAGCCATTTTGCTGTCTTCCAATGTATTGCAGGGATTTTTCTGCCTTTAATGTACTGTGAGTGTGTTGTTGAGCTTAAAACAGATCATGGACAGATTATACACAAGGAAAATGTGACTCCTGTATGTTAACTCAGAAAGTGTTTTTCCAGTTTGTATAGTTATAACCTATTGTTTAGCACTGAAATGATGTTTTTTGAAGTAACATGGCTAGTAAGGTGCTGGATGGCTTGATTGATTGACAATTTTGATTGCTGTCAAGCTGGTAATTGTTGTATGCATTGTGTTAGCATAAATATCTGCTGGCTATCAATGCCAGCCCCATACATAATTTGTGGGTGTTCTATAACATGGATATATTATGTTTTCTGCTATATTAAAAGCATCATTATGGAATTATAGCTATTGTAGTATTGACTTGAGTTTAACAAAATCCAAGATATCTGTTGTATCTTTTGTAACAAACATGCATTCATTTTATGGAGCTAATTTTCTCATTATGCAATCTTAATCAATCATCTCATTAGTCATGTTCCTTTATCTCCTTAGGTGGCATTTCGTGCAAAAGTTGGAAAGAGGTATCAACTTCCTCATAAAGGGATAATTCCTGAAGAGTTTGGAGTGGTATAAATTATTATTATTTTTATTTAGGGGGTCCCAATTAAATCTCAGTGCTTTGTCTATTCCCCCCTCCCCCCAAACTCCCCAATCCCCCAAAAAAAAAATGTTATTAAATTGGCATTGATTCACAATAAAGAAGAGAAGATTATTATTGTTCTGTAGTCTACTCTGATGTTTTTGACATTCCAGATTGCTCGCTATAAAGGTGAAGGGAGGTTGGCTGAGCCAGGGTTTCAGAATCCTCGATGGGTTGATGGTGAACTTGTGATTCTAGATGGCAAGGTTTGTATTCTTCATTCTTGACTAATTATTTAATCTGTGCTGTTATAATTCCAGCTTGTAATTACCCTTTATTACTTTTGTGCAAATGTTTCTGATTGCAACTTACCTTTTGTCGATATCTGCAGCACATAAAAGCAGGGCCAGTTGTTGGATTTGTGTACTGGGCCCCTGAGTATCATTTTTTGGTCTTCTTCAATCGGCTTAGGCTTCAACAGTAGGGTTTCGTTGTTCATTATATCAGAGACTTGTAAATTCTTTCTTCAGATTTTTTAGCGTAAGTTCTCATTTATGGTTAATATGTCATAGAAGTAGTCTCTGATATGAAATGTATCTTCTGCATCAATTTTTTTCTCCTTCTGTATTGTTAATATGATCTGTGAGTACAAACTTGAAATAGATCAAATCTGTAGTTATCTACAAATCTGCACATGATGTTAGATGTGGTGTCTTTGGTTGGAGCAACATGCTTGTATTTATATTAGGAATTATTTGACCCTGAGCTTGGCCTACCTTATTAATAATTAAGCCCAGGCTTAGGTTTTTTAAAAGGCCTTTTTAGCCTAACAGGCCAGCCTTTTTTTTTTGTGATTTATTTACTGTAATACACAATGCAGTATTTTGTTAAAGGCTTAGGTTTATTTGAAACCTATAAAGCCTAAGCCCATTGACCTATTCGAAGACCATGTAATATAGGCCATTAAATAGGCTTTCAAGCCATGCCAAGCTTTTTATGTTTCATGAGCATGTAAGGCCAAGCAAAAAATAATCCTGTGATAGGAAATAGGTCAGGTTAAGGCCAATGTTTTGATAATGTGACTTGACCTTTTCAAGTTAAGCCTAGCCTAGTCCATTTCGGCCTTTAGTTTTGGGATATTTTCATGGCTTTACTTTAGTGTTTAGCTGATGGTTTCCTAAATGGCTTTGTTATAAAACTTGGCTCAAACTGATAGGTTGGAAACAGTGAACCAGAAATCAACCGGTCCAAGTAATGGCTCTGTTCATATTCTTTTTAATGAGTAGGAAATTACTCATTAAAGTCCGAAAAGGTAGCCTAAATTTTCCCTAACAAAATGGATTGGATACATGTTCCTCAAGCTTGTGTCGAGCAATTAGGGGCATTAGCTTGTCGTCGAAGCCATAACTCAATATGAGAGGCCCTGGTGGCATAATTAGTCCCCTCCAACTTATCCATGGAAATACTAGAGGTTCTATAGTTTGTTCATGTTGAGATATATAAAATCATTAATATAGCCTCACCCAACAGCTTAAGCTTTTGGGTTGAATTGGTTCTTTACATGATATCAGAGCTTCGGTGTACCGGGTTCGATCCTCACCGCCCTCCACTTTCTTTTAAGTGGAATTTCTTTCTTCGCACAGGTAGGTGGGCCTGTGCATTGTCCACCCTTCAAACTCAGTGGGCTCTTATGTGAGGGGGCGTGTTGAGATATATAAAATCTGTTGAGATATATTAAATCATTAATGTAGCATCACCCAACAGCTTAAGCTTTTGGGTTGAATTGGTACTTTACATGGTATCAGAGCCTCAGTGTACCGGGTTTGATCCTCACCGCCCCCCACTTTCTTTCTAGTGGAATTTCTTTCTTCGCACAGGTAGGTGGGCCTGTGCATCGTCCACCCTCAAGTCCAGTGGGCTCTCGTGTGAGGGGGCGTGTTGAGATATATTAAATCATTAATGTAGCATCACCCAACAGCTTAAGCTTTTGGGTTGAATTGGTACCTTACAAAATCATTAATATAGCCTCACCAACAGCTTAAGCTTTTAGGTTGAATTGGTTCTTTACAGTTCAAATAAGGGAACCAGTTTTTGGAGCATCAACTTTTGGGTATCATCAGCCTTATGAGGGATTCTTGTTCAAGCTGTGGTTTTTTCTGACGATGAATAGCCTTGGAAAAGGATGGATAAGAGGTTCGTAGAAGAATGTCAGGTTCCAAAATCTGAAGTAATCTAGGTAGCGCATTCCTTCATGCAATTAAAATCACTAGAGAGTAGTTGAGAAAGGAGGCACATGCTACAGCAGAGGATGACAAGCTTCTAGGTCTTTATGATCATAGGTTTTGGAGACTCTGAAATTGGAGCCACTCAGAAAACTAAAGATTTACGTGGCTGGTTTGGAGCACTGCCTTGCTCAGTCACCACCAAGCTTTGGAACATGGTGGGTAATTGGTATGAGATTGTTTATTACCGTTAGCAGTGGTTCAAAATGTTGGTTTTCCCCCCCATGCTCTGGATATCATGTAAAACCAGAAGAAAAGGAGAAAATTTTGAAATGGGAAGCGTGAAACTCTTTAGTGCTTTGCTTTTCTTTTATTACTGAATATGAAACTTCTGTAACACGTTTAGAGGTATACTATTATATATGGTTAGTAACATAACCTGTAAAATCATCAGCAATTATTTACACTTATCTAAAAGAAAGCAAAGATCTGTTTATAAAATAGAAATTCTTCCTTCAATTGTTGTGTTGTTAAGTGTTGGGTTTTTGTTTTATTCTGTATCTTTTTTTTTTTGTGTGTGTGAATTTTTATTCTGTATCTTTGGTTTTGGTTTTTAGTGGAATTGGCATGAAGTGTCTGGGTGTTTCTAATTATCTTGAAGATTTCATGTTACAAGCTTCTTAAATATATGATTGAAGATTGTTGTTTTTGTAGGCTCCAGGTTTTGATGAATGCTAAAATCTTGTGCTCTAATGGAAGACATCACCTATCACTGCAGGGTCTTCCATTTAAGGTATCCAGTGTTTAATTCTAACTACGTTAGTGTTTAATTCTAACTACATTATATGGATTTTTTAGTGAACGTCAATTTTCTCTGATGTTGATTTTCATGTTTTTCTCTCTCTTATGTACAGCTTCAGAAGATTTTAACCACCAGCTTTCTGCCAAGCAGCATAGAATTTGAGCGTTTGGCTGCTTGTCTAGTTCTAACTCGACTGACTGGGGTATCTTAAAGCTTGGTTGCTGTAGCTTGACTAATTATAGAATGAAGGGGGATTCATAATATCAGCACTAAAGTGCAATGTACTGGTCTCTTCATTCCGTGTATTATGGAGGTGTAGTGTTCACAGGGTATCTTTCATCAACTTTGTATATGGTTCCTAATTTTTTTTACAAGTTATATTCCCTTGTAACGTATATTCATAATCATGCTTAGTTTAATGTGTGCAGGGTTTATATCATTTTTTTTTATTTTTTTTTTTGTAATAGGGTTTACATATCATTGTTCTTTCTGTTAGGATGAAAGAAATCTTTCATTAAAAATGGCATTATTTTATCTTCTCATTTTGATTAGTATTCAGTCTTTGGTATTTAGCTTCCTATTAAATTTATATTGCAGAATTGAAGGTCCCGAAAGGGTCTTCCCAAAATTTTGATTACAGATTTGATTTGGAGATGACAAAACCATAGTGCCTTTTTTCAATCCCGGCCTGACCTTCCCTCAATGAACTTGAGTGTATGCCCAGTTACCTTATGCTTTGCATTTAATTTATTGAGACATGCTTAAAACTTGGTTTGTGGTGGAATGAAAATCGGGTGAAAGTTTATGTTTGGGAAACTGAGGAGGATATAGAGGAAACAAGAATGAGGATAACATTTGTCCTTAATTTTCCTAATATCAATCTCCTTATTTATAAACTAAGGAGAACTATAGGACATAAATGTAATTTTAATTAATGTTTATTCTTTTGAAAATGTTATTTACTCATTCATTCCCACCATATTCATTGTTCTCCACTTCCATTTTATTTTTGCCAAGACCAACTCTTAGCATACATTTTCTGTTATTTAGCTAGATCTTCCATGGCCCATGTATCAATATACTTTGCGCATTCCATATACAGCTAAGTTACTACGAGTATTGAGAAGTATATGACATATAATTTCCGCACATGTTTTGAGTCCTTAGAATTTTGTAGATGATGTTTTACCTTTTAACTTTTAACAAATGAACCTTTACTCGGTCGGAAGTACAGTACCGTAAGACTGTTCTTCTGTCTTGAATTGTAGCCACTTAGAGGGTCTTCGTTTCGGGTGTAATAGTCAAAGTAATCCTTTGTAATCACTTTGAAGTATTTTCAAATTTAGAATTATATATTACCGATTGTATTGTATATGTTAAAATTATGTAGATTAAGACAGAAGGAGAAAAGGAGAAAAATAAAACTTAGTAATATTATATGAAATTAATATTATACGTGATTATGTGATATAAAAGATAAAATGATAAGTTATATTTATAGGAGTGTGAAAAAAAAAAGCAAATGAACCGGATTAAATTATCAACCGAATTGAACCACTTTACAAGTAATCAAATCATTTAATTATTTTACTAATTGACCAATTTTTTTTGTAATTTCATAAATCCAATAATTGCACCATATAGTAACTCAACTTATATTAGACTAGACTTAGCTTATTATATCTAGTAAATGAAATAGGCTCAAGCCTTAAAAAAAGTCTATTTCGAAAACATGTTATAAGCTTTTTTTTACAAGACCCAACCTATAAGCTAGCCTATATTATATTATTTATTTTAAATAACATAAATAAAAGTATTATTTAAATAATTTTGAATGATAAAATAATATTATTTTAGTTATTTTTTTAATTGTTCAATGTCAAATAAGCTTAAAGATACTAACAGACCTAGAACAAGTCTATTATTTTTTCAAATATAGACCAAGTCTGACATATAATTTGGCCAACACCAGGCTAATAGATTAGACCAGACTGAAAATATTTTACACGCGCCTCACATATTTAAGCTGAAGCCTAGCACGCTCCTATTCATTTGCACCTCTAAGATGAACCAAGAGAAAAGGTAATTCGAAATTGGAAAAAAAGAAAAGAAGAACACAATAAATTTTCAAATTTTAAGAAACTCGACCATGAAAAATAGAATAGTAATTGAACAAAGTCTTGTAAGATAATACCGCTTTAATACAATATTAAAATTTTAAGAATTTAGGTAGAGAAGAAAGAAAAGAAGAAAAATAACTTCTAGGCTAATATTCTATGAAATTAATAGTGTGTAATACAAAGAAGAGTAATTCTAATTATGTCAGAAAATAAATTTAAAATATTAAAATATTATGAAATATTATGATTAAAATATTAAGATATAATTAAAATATTATGAAATATTTTTCATATGTTGTACTAGTATCCTATTATCACCCTTTTAAATGAGATGAAACTTCTCATTAAACGAGGACATGATAGGGATGATAAATGTTAACACGACAGCTGATACAACATGAACACAACACGAAAAATTCGTATTCAAATTGATCCATTTTTAAATTTATGTCATATTCATGTTGACAAAAACGGACAAGAAAAAATTTGTGTCATATTATGTGTCAACTCGCAAACATGAAATTAATCTACATTAATCTTTTTGTAATTATTTGTATTGTGTGACACGACACTGGTAAATGCAACTTTCAATATACTTGTTATTTGTATTTTATATCATGCCAATCACATAATAAACGACGTATTTGAGATCGCGAGTTATTCGTATTGTATCGTGTCAAATATCTGTTAAGGGAAAAGAGGTTATTCACCTTTATGCCCTTTCTTCCCTAGGTTTTTGCAAGCATCCCCTGCCTCCCAAGAAAAACGAAAAAAGTTTTATTCATCAACAAATTTTTTGTAGAAGTTCATATAGGATTACTCAAAACTGACAACTTGATAGTCCCTTCGTTTGCTATGCAGGAAGGCATTTTATATTTCATTGTGTTTCTCCTTTTGGGGGGCACTCACCATCGCACCAATTTTGTTGTGTGGAATAATGAACTGAAGAAATTTGAAATGGCATATAAAGCATCCTCTTTGCATACAAGTACAAAAATTTAGATTTCATACCATGGTCTAAAAGTGTTAGCTGCTTATATTTTACATATGATGATTATATAGTCCTAATGGGGGTCACCTCCACAAGACCATTTGCAACTTATTAGACCAACCTTATATAAAGTATCTTATAGAGCTTTATTCAGAAGAGCCACACACAACAGACTTAAGCCTTCTCTTCTGCACCAAACAACACTTCATTTGCTATCTTGGCACCCCGTTCTTTGGCCATATACAGACCTACGTGATGCATAAACTCCTGAAAATTAAAGTTATATTAGAATGCATTAAATGTATGCCTTAGCTTTGACACATTCTGAGATTACTTTTAGGGGAAAGATATTCAGTAAAGCTAGTGTTTACTTAAGAAAAATGAACTTTTGATGCTTCCATAGACTGTTATATTATATGTAATACCTGAGGATGAGTTAAAGTTCCTTTGGTGTTTCTGGCTACCTCCATAGGGATATCAAAGGTAGCGCAGCCATGTGAATACACCACCACATTTTCTAGAGGCTTGAGAAAACCACGGTTTTTAGCTGACATTGTGGAGCATACAAAATCCAGAACACATATATCTGTGCATACACCTACAACCAGAAGCTTCACCAAGGCAAGCAAAATAAATTAATGGTTTTAATAAGATGAGATTAGAAGTTCAGACTCTGCGCATCAGGAACAGTAAATTTTTTAAAAAAATAATCAAATTGGAATAATACTCACAGTTTTGATCTTATTCTTCTTCACCCAATCTACAAAAACGTTAGAACCATCTTCTTCCATTGAGCCAAAATATCCATCAAAACAATCCTTACGCCTGATTGTTACATTGGTTTCATTCTCTAGCCATCTTAACGCTGCAATTGAAGAAGATTAAGACACAGCATGCACTGAGAGGGAGAAGGGGAGCAGGAGAGTTTTGAATAGAGTTGAAATTTGAAAAAAAAAAATAGTAGTGGGAATTCACATCACAATATATTAGTAGGAAATCTATGTAGCATTCAAAATACTATTTGGTGAGAAGAAACTATTAGATGCTCTTGGTTGACACAACACGATAGAATATTTATATTTATTCCTCAACAGTATTAATTACCTAGTAAGAAAAAAGTATTGTTGAACATGATATGTACATCTTAGCAGTTAGTTCATATGATGCAATATTAGTATTAGTACCCAGCATATGTGGTTATGTATCCACTCTAATATATATTATATCATGCATGAGAATTATCAATTATGTGTGTGATTTTGTCAAGAGAAAAAGATGTGAATAATTGCCACACCTGGAACTAGATTTGATTCATCAGTCCCAACAATACAGTGAGAGGGATAAGGGTCCTCTGGCTTGTTAGGATGGTGAGAATCTAAGAAAGCCATAACTGGCAATTTCTTCTCACAGAACAGTCTAGCTAGCCTTGCTGATTCATTGATCATTCCTGAAATCTGTCTATTGGGTTCTCTTGGAGCCTGAAAATATCATCCATCTCTTAAAGGTTTGATTCACTTCAAGAGTATAAGTATAAAATCTATGAAGACACTCAACTCTTGAGTGAACTACAATGAAGTCAACACAAAAGAATATTCTAGTTTATCAATACTGAAAAGCATTTACACACACACACACACAAAAGAAGAAGAAGCATTTAAACAGACACACGCATGAGGCTATATATATGCCTCTTAACACTTCTTAAAGGAAAAAGAATCTAAAATAGTTAAGGTGATACCAAATTTCCAGCACCAACTGTGCAAAAGCCATTTATGATGTCCACAAGAACAAGACCATTTACAGTGTCTTCAGCTAAAACCACCGACTGTTGCTCCAGAGGAATCTCATTCTTCAGGAGTTCAACTGTATCTGACACCATCTTGGTTTTTCACTTAGTAGATAGCAATCAACCCAATTCTCGTATATACAGTAAGGAATTGTGTATTCACTGTCACACCGATATTTGCATCTTTATCTTTATAATACACTCAAGCATATAATTTTTATTTTATTTTTTGGTTACAAAAAAAATATTAATTTTTTTTTATATCAGAAAAAGCATATAATTTTATTCGCAGGGAATCTGACTCATAATGTTATCCGTGACTCAAGTAAGCTGAAAAGTCAAACAGGCTTCTAGGCATGGATGATAACTTTGATTTCTCCAAGTAAATCACGCTTGCCGCCATAAATATCTAGCTATACAACATGATAATTTAATGTTTTCTTAAAAAGAGCAACAACAAAAAAAGAGATAGCAAACAAATCAAAAGATTAAATTTTGATCAATAATCAAATAACTTTTGATAATATTTTTTTTGGTAGTTCTTTTAATAGTTCTTTTTCACTCTTACTTGGGATTAAAATAAATATTATTATATCGTTCTTGTTTATAAATTATTTTTAACTTTAAATCAAAATTATATACTAATTTGTTTATGTTTGATCGTGATTTGATCAATTACATGAGCTATATAATCGATTATTTTACGCGTGGATGAAATAATTGATTACAAGACTTATGTAATTAATTATTTCGCGTCCAGAAACTCTATATTAATGAATTTCGACCTCATTTTATATATATCCATTTTTTACATCAAAATTTCACTCATTTCTTATCTCTATTCCAACCCATCAAAGTGACTTTCATCCACCGTCCCTAAACCTTAAACCTTTTGAAATCATTGTGAGTATACTTACATATTCCAAAAGTTTTGCAAATATTCAAACTCAAACCAAACCTTAATCTTATTTTTGTGTGAAAGATGAGCTCAAATTTAAACACTTATGTTGCAATTATCTATCACAATGAGAGATAATTTGAAGTTCTCAATGGTGCACACTTTGAAGGACAAATTAAAACGATAGAAATCAAATGTGACACAATATACAATGAACTCAAGAGGAAAATTCATTAAAAAATAGGAAAGGAACCCACCACACAATTTGAGGAAAATTTGTAGCAAAAGTCACAATTTTGGGAGTTACGGTTTAAGGGTGCTCGATTACCTCTTAGTTTTCCCCCTTGGGTCAAAATGAGAGTTTTTAAAAAATAAACCTAACGAAGTTATAATTTGTTGAGTCAACAATCAAAGAGGAACATATTGATGTACAGTATTAGAACGGAGGCAAAGTTATAATTTTTAATTTAATAGGGGTAAAAGGGTCAAGCACCATTTAATAGTATATTTAATACATTATCACTTAATATATAGAGAGAGAAATTTTGCACCACTAGGATTAGCTTGTGTGTGTTAGGAATGTGTGTAGTGTAGGGTGTTGTGTTCAATTCCTTGTAACTTCAAAAAAAAAAAAAAGAGAAATTTCTCAAGTCACTTGAGATATATTTATATCCGGTCATTCTAAAATTACGTCATTTTGTTTATTTATTTTCTTATATTAATTGATTCTCCTTTGAATGATTTTGTTTTCCTTTTTCTCTCTCTTTCTTTATCACTATTGATCTATCTTTGTGCGGTTATGATTTAGTGGCCAGAGATAAAGTTATCTCAAGTGACTTGAGAAATAATAAGCCTTATATATATATATGTGTGTGTGAGAAAAATATTTCTCAAGCAGCTTGAGATATATTTATTTTCGTCCATCCAAAAATTACGTCATTATATTTATTTATTTTCTTATATTAAATTATTCATCTTTGAATGATTATATTTTCCTTTTTGTCTATCTTTTTTTATTACTATTAATCCAGCTTTATATGATTATGATTTAGTAATCAGAAATAAAGTTATCTCGGGTATTAGAGAATTAATTCCACAAACAACAAGAATCTTGTGTGCAACTTTATCGAAAATCATGAGAGAAGCAAGTGTAATTTATCACAATTTTTAAGGAAAATCTACTCGTTATTTTGTTGTAAAAAAAAATTATTGTGCCACCGATTATAATTACATATTTTTTAAAATACATAATTATAATATTAAACTTTTTTTTTTCTCTTGTCGGCTGAAGTGGATAAAGAAAAAATAATCATATTATAATTATGGGTTCGTTTTTTCTGCAGTTACTGCATATAAGTTATCTGCAGTAAGTCAATACGACGTCGTTTTAAGACAGAAATCATGGTGTTTTTGTAATTTTAATTTATTTCAGGTTATAATAGTCTTTATATTTATAATTTTTTAAGATTTCATACTAAAACGACGTCGTTTTGAGAATAAATGCAGATAATTTATCTGCATTAACTGCAGAAATATTTTTCCCTATAATTATATACTCTCCGGAGTACATATTTATAATCGATAGCAGAAGAAGATTAATAATAAGAAGTGATAAAAAAAATAGTGAATATAATCTCCCCATATTTAATATTGTTCAAAAAATAAAAATAATCCCTAAAGCTCAAATAAAACATTTTTTTATATCAGTGGACACCAAATTATTGGATTGAAATAAAATCAACAACAGTCTTACACTGTTAGACTGTTAGTCTATTACACACGGACAAGCGCCAATTTTACGCAAATCTTTGCCCTATATAAATGAATATTATTTATCTTAAATTCCTCCCCAAAAAAAAATGTGTTAGTATGATCCACCCACATTTCAAAAATTTGAAGTATAGTATCCGACACTCTAACACATGTTGTATAGACCATAGTAGTTAAAATCACGATTTAAATATGTGATTTTATGATTTTTTTAATTAAAATAATATCATTAAAATTCCAAATGCTTTTACAATTTTTTTTACGTTAAGATTTTACGTTTTATGATTTTTTTATCCTCTTTCTGATTTTAGGTAAAATTTCGATTTAACTACCATTGCATAGACTAAAACAAGATTCAAAGATTGCATTGCTTGTGTTTTTAGTTCCAATTATTAAATTCGTCAGATTACGATTATCATTTTATTGAGTTTAATATAAATATTTATGACATTTTATGTTTCTTTGTAAAATTGATGGTTATTATAAATTTAATTTAATTTTTTATTAAATTATTAAATATTAAATATAATATATATTACTTAAATTAAAAATATTATTTAATATCTAAACATTTTCTAATATATTAAAATTTAATAATTTTCAAAATTAATATGTCAAAATATCCTATTATGTAATATTCCGTATCGATACCAGCACAACATAGTTTTGAGTGTGGTGATGTATCTACCACTGAAATTGTGTCAGATGAAAACATCTTGATAAAAACCAGATAACTTTTTCACAATATGCAGTCAGCTGCAACATCATCACCCTTCTATCAACTCATCAGTTTCCGGCCAAAGCTTCAAACTTTCCTATCAAAAGCTCAACTTTTGCCAGGAAGGACCCCTTTCTGCAGACCAAGAATGGCTTCGGTTTCTGGGTTTGGGGTAAGGTCACTGAAGGCCTTAGGTGGTTCTTCTTCATCTGCAGGTGATGATGGGTTTGTTACATTGATAGAGTATGTGGGTAAGACAGGAATAAATGTAAAAGACGATTTGGTAGTGTTGCTTGATCACATTCAATATGCTTGCAAGAAAATTGCAGCTCTTGTGGCTTCTCCTTTCAATTCCAGCATTGGGAAACAAACGGTTCTTGGCTCTGTGGCCAGTGGTGTTTCCGGTAGGGATGCTCCAAAGCCTCTTGATATTCTCTCGGTATATATATTTTTTTTTTCTTCTTACGAAAATTACTAAAATTGGGTGTTGTTTTCTCCTCCTACCCTTTTTATGTGATTGTCTTGGTACTATATTTGGTGAGGAGTGTGATGCTGTTTTGTGCTTTCCATTGTGTTAAGTGTGTGGTGTGGTTGAAAATCAGAGAAGTAAAAGGATGGAATGAAAATGGATGATCATCATTTTCATTTCATTTCTTGGTTACAAATTGAGGTGAGTATCAGATGAAAGTGCAAAGTGCAAACAAAACGATTGTCTATCATCCTCCTTACCATATCTCTTACAAATTAGACTATATGATTCTTCAAATTTGGGAATTTGAAGGTTTCATGAGTTGAACCACTCACAGAAAATTAATATAATTTAGCCCCCTATATCTTAGTAAGTTGTAGAGCAACATTATGAGAATGGCAAAAACATACCAATAAAAGAAACTGGTACACGAAACAACCTTTCTTTTGACTTGTGATAATGATATCTAGTTAAAGCCTTTAAAATTCTTATGTTACTTGGTAGTGTAACCTTTAGAATTTGTTGAAGCTGGTTATCCTCTTGACTCAAAGTAGTGTATGTGTACTTAAGTCTTGCAGGAGATAAAACCTATAATGCCGTTGTGACAAGCAGTTCTATGATAGTTATCAAATGGATTGTTAGACTGATGTTGATTACATATCAGCATTGGTCTTAATTTTTAAAAGCAATACTGATTTACCATACTAGTCAAGAATGTTGAATGCTCTATCGAAGTTCTTTCTATCAATTATGTCTGGTAAAGAGCTTTGTAATTTCCTCTACTAACAATATCCCCTAAATATTAAAGAAAAAGAGTATCTGATTAATCAATTCTCCCCATCATGCATCATTGCAGAATGAAATTATATTGTCATCACTCCAAAAATCTGGAAAAGTTGCTGTCATGGCTTCTGAAGAAGATGATGCACCAACTTGGATAAGTGATGATGGTCCATATGTGGTCGTAACAGATCCCCTAGATGGTTCTCGAAATATTGATGCATCCATTCCGACGGGTACAATTTTTGGTATTTACAAGCGCCTTGAAGAACTAGATAATCTACCCACAGAGGACAAGGCTATGCTGAATTCACTCCAGAGTGGAAGTAGACTTGTTGCTGCTGGCTATGTTCTCTATTCATCTGCAACTATACTCTGCATCACCTTTGGCTCTGGAACACATGCATTCACTCTCGATCATTCAACAGGAGACTTTGTTCTCACAAATCCTAGCATTAAAATTCCTCCCCGTGGTAACATATGCAGTTTACATATTCCATACATAATTTAAATGTATGCAAATCTAGTAATGACCTTACTAATTTGTTGATGCTTTATAACTCATATCTTCCTGTTATATATCTTCCTATGGTTGAAAGTCATGTTCAAAAAAATGAGACCAGACCTGCCTGTTCGACCGGTTATAGATAGCTACCTAAGGTTGAAAGTCATGTTCAAAAACTCAGATCAGACTGGCTATTTGACTGATGAACCAGACTGGTCCGAATACATGATTAGGTCAGATATGTATTCGACCCAGTTTGACTTGGCCGACTTTCATAAAAAACTGGTGATTCAGCCTGGTCATATGTTATCTAAAAAAAAAAAACTTAAAAACAATGTCGTTTCATACAATGGTCTTGTGTTTAATAGTGTTTTGAAGTTGTGATTGTTACTTGTGTTGTTTGTTTATGTTTTCAACTTGTTAAAGTGCGTTAGTTACTTGTGTAATGGTCTTTAAAATTTAGATTATGAACTTGTTAAGTTGTATTAGATACTTGTTTATGATTTTTTGTAATTTTAAGCATGGACTATGGACATATATATACATATGGTTCAACCCGTTGAATCAGTGACCCAATATCTAGACCGAGTGGATGACCAGTCTGATTTTAATAACACTGCTGGAAGCATCTTACAGCGGATTAATTTTCTTTAGTTGGTTTCTATGTAAAAAAATAAAAGTTAATGTATATAGCTTTAGTTTATGTTGTTGACAGTTCTCTTATTATTTGGTCAGGGCAAATTTATTCTGTAAACGATGCACGATATTTTGACTGGCCCGAAGGTTTAAGGCAATATATAGACACTGTTAGACAAGGAAAAGGTAGATATCCCAAGAAATACTCAGCCAGGTATATATGTTCTCTGGTGGCTGATCTCCACCGAACTTTGTTATATGGGGGTGTGGCTATGAATCCAAGGGACCATCTTCGTCTTGTTTATGAAGCAAACCCTCTTAGTTTCATTGTAGAGCAAGCTGGCGGAAGAGGTTCTGATGGCAAAAATAAGATTCTTTCCATTCAACCAGTTAAACTGCACCAAAGACTTCCTTTCTTTCTGGGGAGTTTGGAAGACATGGAAGAGTTAGAAAGTTATGGAGATGTACAACAAAAAGTAAATCCTGGTTATGAGGTTTGATGATATAGCATGCATAGAAATTATGAATATTTATTCAACAATCATGGTGTCTAACTAATTGTTCTAGTGTTCTTCATCTGTGTTCTTTGCACTGCAATGTCCATAATTTGTGTTAATGTATTTTTTCTTTTCTGTCTCTCTGTTATATCAGATTCAAAAGATCTCTCCCTATATATATACATGGGCTTATCATTTCTCAAGCTGCCGGATATAACTCTATCTCCGGCTACTAAATCATAACCATACAAAGATGGATCAACGGTGATAAATGAAGAGAGAGAAAAAGAGAATCATAACCATTCAAAGGTAAATCAATAAATATAAGGAAATAAATAATCAAAACGACGTAGTTTTGGGGTGGCCGGAGATAAACTTATCTCAAGCAGCTTGAGAAATGTTTTTTCCTATATATATATATATATATGGATAGAGTTTTATGACTCTTTTGCTATACAAAGAGGGTAGCATATAGTGTTAAAAACAAATTCAACCTAAAACCTTAAAGTGTTGGGTAAGGGTCTATTTAATGGTTTATATTATTCTCTAATATATTGGAGTTCAAAGAAGATGGAAAAAAAGAAAATAAAGCCAAAAAAAAAAAAACTCACAAGGGTGAGAGAGAAAAAAAATACGGGTGGTGTCTTCATTGTCGCTAACAACCTAGTTCAACTAAAAAAAACTTGACAGATTATTTAAGGATTGACACAAAGACATTGTTTCAGATTTGATGAAAAAGAAATAAAAAATGAACATAAGGATGGTGTCTTCTTCATCAATAACAACCTAGTTTTTGGATATATGGGTTGTGTAACTCGAAAGAAACTTGACAGATTATTCTATGGTTGAGTTGTCCCGGTTTTTATTAAGAACTACAAGCAAAAAACGGGTTATATGCAGCCATGGCACGGCAAATGGGTTTGGGAATGCGACTTTATGGCTCGTTTTTTAATTAAAAGTCATTTCAATTAGATATAATTCCAAATTTGCTTAGGTCAAATTTCTGTAATTTTTGTAAATAAAATAACCTGAAAATTGCTTAAAACAAAATTGTGAAATAAGTGATATAAGTGGATAAAATTATGGGGAAAGTAATTCTTTTGTTGCGGCAAAATTGATATTCTCCTGCAGGTGAGAGGTCGATTTGCTTGCCAACATTTTATTTCTTTCTTTTTTTTCTTTTAAATTAGTGGGACCTATTTGATTGTATGCGCTGCAAAATATTTTCTTATTCTGCCGCATGAGAAGATCTAATCCCTAAAATTATAGTAGAAGTGTGTAAAAAATAACTTGTTCAATTCATAGATATCTAGATTGGGTGAGATAAGTGGTTGAAGATGGCTAAAGGTGACTCGTTTAGGGCCCGTTTGGATGAGCTTTTTTTTTTCTTCAAAAGCTTCTTTTTTTCAAGAAAAAAAGTACTTTTCGTTTTTAGTTCGTTTGGATGTCTGCTTTTAAAAAAAGGAGAAGTCACAAAAAAGTCAAAAACTTACTTTTCTCATAAGCTAAAAAATTTAACTTCTCAGAAAAGCAGAAGTCAAAAATCAAATATTTTTTTCAAAAAATAAATATTTTTATAAAAATATAAATAGCTTTAACTTTTGTAAAAAGTACTTTTAAAATAAGGAAGTAGTAAAAGTTACTTTTAGAAAAAGCTAAACCAAACGACCTCTTATAGGCTATTTGAATATTTGGGGACGTTTAGCATTTGTATTTTACACACTCGGTACATCCCAAAGTTATTTTTTAATGGATGGCATGTGATTCTAAATATTGGCTCCTGCGAAATTTTTTTCATATTTTTTTTTTCAAAGTTTTTAATGAGTTTCGTGGATTTTTCGGGAAACTTATTAATTTTTTAATTTCCCGCTTCAAGTTTCTTTGATTCTTCTTTGGGAATTCACAGATCACGCCACGTGACAGGATCCCTTAAAATAATATTATTTTTTTCAATTCAAATGAATATTTTATTATGAGAGGAAACAATGCTCATTAAGAAATAGTCCTTATGCAATGCCAAATAACAAAGAGAATGCATCTACCCATGTCATTTGTAGTTGTAACCATCATTCACATAGATTTAAGGTTGAAAAGAGTTTGAATTATTTTATATAGACACGTGGTCGTGTTGTTTCGATTGATTTGAGTAAACACGATTGTCAATGTGGAAGGTTAATTGCATTTCACTTTCTATGCTCTCATGTATTGCCACATATAAATTCCGATTATTCGACTTTTTTAAATACAAACAGGTGGTATGTTGTTTTGGTCGATTTGAGTCAACTCGATTGTCAATATGGAAGGTTAACTACATTTCACTATTCATGCTCTTATGTCATTGCCATATGTAGATTCCGATAAGTTGACTTATTTAAATACGTGGATTTAATTGGAGATGAAGATTATAAGAAGGGTAAGGGCTTTAAATGGTTGAGATCACATCACATACGCCCTGCGAGTCCCTAAGGGGATCTGCAGAGAGAAAGATAAATGTTAGTTAAGATTCTTATCTAATTATGTTTTAGAGTGATAAGCAAAGGTAAGCAGAAAAAATGGTAGATAGAATAATCTATCCATATATATATATATATATATATATATATATATATATATATTGTTCCGGATGGCCCAAACACTGGTACGGCCCAGCTGGCCAGGCCCAATCCTCAGCCCCAACCCACGTCAACCCTAAGGCTAACGTGGAGACGCGCGCCCTCCAACCTTGCAGCATGTCCAAAGGATACACCGAAATGCCCCATCTCGGGATGCTAACCACCAAAGGCGCCAACCACATGCACCCTAAAGGGAAAACTACCCTCTGCCCAGTGCTGACATCGCCAGACGCAGAAGGCGCAACGCTGCCCAAAAGGCAGCGCCAAACACGCCCAACACTGCTATCATGGTAGTACATCCCAAGGAGGGTTGACCTCTCCTTACCAACCCGCACCATATCCTCTATAAATAGCCCCCATGGGCACAACTTAAAGGTATCTTATGTATCGTAATATTGCCCATTTACTTTGAGTCTTATTGCTTACTGCACATACCTATGGTCTTGCTATTGCTTGGCATAATACCTCTTAGCCTGGTCTGTACCTAAGCTAAGGGTATCTCCCATACAGTGACTCATCCCTAAAGGGAACATAGTGGGCTTATAGATCCCTACGGTACATTGGCGCCGTCTGTGGGAAGCTATAAACTTCTATTCCCATTCTCTTACCCAAAGGCCCATCGGACGAGTCATTTCCTCTAGCTACCAAGTAAACGTCGAACGCATTTTGCAACTGAACATGGTGGTCACCAGAAGAACGGAGCACGCCAGGGCCACTACGCCAGAAGGACACGTACAGACAGTACAACCAAGCTCCCCGCCATCCATGCATTCAGCCCCAGCTGAGCAGGCCGCTGGAGAGGCCCCACCTCCTGTACTACAATCTGTTGGTCCACAGTTACCAACGACTGGTGCTAGGGTCGCCCTGCAGCATCATCAAGTACCCATGCATGAGATGCAGGGGGAAATGTAGTTCCAAACCAACCACCACCCCCCGGAGTTCATTTTGGAATGCCATTTCCAGCAGTTGTTCCACGAACTGCTCATCTCACCCACCCTCCAACGCCAGATGGAGCATTGGAACATGTAGTGCTGGGTGAGACAGATCATCAGACGACAACAATCGGGGCGACCATCGACCCAGGGGTCAAAGTCAAGCTGATCCAACTGTTAAAAGAAAATAAAGATTTGTTCGCCTGGAAACCATCTGATATGCCAAGTATTGACCCGAACGTATGCTGCCACCATTTGTCGGTGGATCCTAAAGCAAAACCAGTTTCACAAAAAAAGAGAAAGTTTGGTCTCGATCGCCAGAAGGTCATCGATGAAGAGATCAAGATACTCTGTGACGCCGGATTCATCAGGGAAATCAAGTACACAACTTGGTTATCCAATCCGATGTTAGTAAAGAAACCCAATGGTGCGTGGAGAATGTGCGTTGACTACACTGATCTCAACAAGGTCTGCCCGAAAGACGCCTATCCCTTCCCGAGCATTGACCAGCTGGTCGACAACGCCTCTGGTTTCCAAATGTTGTCTTTCATGGACGCATATTCGGGATATAACCAAATCCCGTTACTGGAGGAAGATCAAGACAAAACGGCATTCATCACGCAGAACGCCAACTATTGTTATACGATGATGTCTTTTGGATTAAAGAATGTGGGTGCCACATATCAAAGGATGATGAATGAAGTGTTCAAAGATCTGATTGGCAACTGCATAGAAGTTTACATTGATGACATGATCGCCAAATCCAAAACGCCAGACCAGCACTTAGCAGATCTCCAAGGCGTCTTCGAGAGACTGAGAAGGTTTAACATGCGCCTCAACCCCAACAAATGCGCTTTTGGGGTTCCTGCGGGAAATTTCCTAGGCTTCATGCTTACGGAGCGAGGCATAGAAGTGAATCAGGACAAGTGCAAGGCAGTCATCGAAATGCGAAACCCGCAAACAATCAAAGAAGTCCAACAACTGACCGGAAGGTTAGTAGCTCTCACCCGTTTTCTGGCAAACTCAGCACACAAATCCCTCCCCCTTTTTAGTTTGCTCAAAAAGGGGGACCACCTTCTGATGGTCAGAGGAATGTGAGAACGCCTTTCAGGAATTCAAAAGGGCTCTTTCATGCCCGCCAGTACTTGCCAAACCAGATCACGTAGAGATGTTGTATTTGTACCTTGCCGTAGGAACAGAGGCAGTCAGCGCAGCTCTCGTCAAAGAATCACAAGAAGGACAAAAGCCTGTCTATTTTATTAGCAAATTTTTACAAGACGCTGAGCTTCGGTACCAACAGGTTGAAAAGGTGGCGTTAACACTCATCTTTGCTGCAAGGCGGTTAAGGCCATATTTCCAGTGTCATCCAATCACTGTCAGAACAAATCAGCCAATCCGCCAAATTTTGCATAAGCCAGATCTAGCTGGAAGAATGATGTCCTGGGCGATAGAACTGTCGGAGTACCAGATCGCCTACGAACCAAGAATTGCCATTAAGGCTCAAGCTTTGACAGACTTCATCGCTGAAATAACGCAAAGCCCTCCCCTTGAGAATCAGGCAACAGAAACGCCTTCATCTGGAATCTGGAAGTTATATGTTGACGGCTCTTCAAACGCCAAAGCATCGGGCGCTGGGATGATAGTTGAAAACCCAGACGGTGTAGCACTCGAACACTCTTTGTCTTTTGACTTCAACGCCACAAATAACCAAGCGGAATACGAAGCCATGATAGTCGGTCTGCTCCAAGCAAAAGAAATGGGCGCCAGACGCCTCAAAGTCTTCACAGACTCCCAGCTGGTAACCTTTCAAATCTCAGGCGAATACCAAACTAAAGGACCGCTAATGTGCAGGTACCTAGAAAAGGTCAAAGAATTAATTGGAAGTTTTGAAGCCGTTGAAGTGGAGCATATAAGACGAGCTGAAAATACCCGGGCAGATATCCTCGCCAAATTGGCGAGCACCAAAAGCCCAGGAAACAACCGATCAATAATCCAGCATAACATGCCAAGCCCATGCATTGTGATGAGTATTTCAAACCCGCCAGAGGAGGTAGCTGAAGAAACCTGGACAACGGCAATCATCAACTACTTGGCGGAGGGAGTTTTGCCCCAAGATAAAAAAGAAGGCCAAAAGATAATACAGCGATGCGCGCATTTCTGCCTAATGAAAGGGCGGTTGTATAAACGGGGGTTCTCAACCCCACTCTTGAAATGTTTGGTCCCTGACGACGTTCAATACGTGATTGAAGAAATTCATGAAGGTATTAACGGCCACCACTTAGGCGATCACTCACTGGTAAAGAAAGCGTTAAGAGCAGGGTTTTACTGGCCAACCATGGAGCATGACGCCCACGAACATGTCAAGAAATGCGAAAAATGCCAAAGATTTGTTGATATACACAGAGCACCACCAGAAGAGTTGACGTCAATCACATCACCATAGCCTTTCTACAAATGGGGAATCGACATTATAGTCCCTTTCCCCATGGCGGCTGGCCGAGTCCAATGGCTGATTGTCGCTATTGACTACTTTACCAAATGGGTAGAGGCAGAACCCTTGGCCACCATCACGTCCCAAAAAGCAAGAAGGTTCTTTTGGAGATGCATCGTCTACCGATTCGGTATTCCGGGAGAGGTCATTACCGATAACGACACTCAATTTACTGATACAAAGTTCCGTGAACTAATGAACAGTTTGCAAGTTCAACACCATTTTTCCGCCGTAGAACACCCTCAATCCAACGGATTAGTAGAGTCAGCCAACAAAATGTTGGGGAAAGGAATCAAGAAGAAGTTGGAAGCACACAAAGGAGCATGGTTAGAAAACCTTGACAACGTCATGTGGGGGTACAGGACTATCGCCCAGTCTTCCACCAGAGAAACGCCCTTCAGTTTGACCTATGGTTCCGAAGCCATGATCCATGTGGAAGTAGGTGAACCCTCCTGGCGACGAGAACACGTGACCGAGGTCACCAACAACCAACATTTGAAGGAAGCACTGGACTTGCTGGACGAAATCAGAGGATATGCCGCCCACAACGATCGCCAGTCCAAAGAAAAGTCAGCCACTTATTATAACAAGAAAGTAATTCCACGAGTTTTTGAGGAAAAAGATCTGGTTCTCAGAAGAGCGGACGTTGGAAACAAGAACGCTCGAGAAGGAAAGCTCGCCCCAAACTGGGAAGGTCCCTACCGAATAGCAAACAAATTGGGAAAATGAGCTTACTCGCTCGAAACACTAGATGGGAAGGCGATCCCGAGGGCGTGGAATGCAGACAAGCTCAAGAAGTACTATAGTTGATTTGCCATGTAACATCGCCTGCACTCTTTTCCTTCCCTACGTTTTTGTCCCAATGGGTTTTACTAGGGAAGGTTTTTAATGAGGCAGGGTCCCACATTTTCAATAAAATGGAAGCCAACATCAGCCTTCTATATTCCGTGTCAAAAGTAAACTAACAGGATGGTTCTCACCCCCGCCATAGTTGGACTGGGATGGTTCTCACCCCAGCCAACGCCCAACTAACGGGATGGTTCTCACCCCCGCCGCAGTTGGACTGGGATGGTTCTCACCTCCAGCCAACGCCCAACTAGAACCCCCGCCGCAGTTGGACTGGGATGGTTCTCACCCCCAGCCAACGCCCAACTAGAACCCCCGCCGCAGTTGGACTGGGATGGTTCTCACCCCCAGCCAACGCCCAACTAACGGGACGGTTCTCACCCCCGCCGCAGTTGGACTGGGATGGTCCTCACCCCCAGCCAACGCCCAACTAACGAGACGGTTCTCACCCCCGTCGCAGTTGGACTGGGATGGTCCTCACCCCCAGCCAACGCCCAACAAACGGGATGGTTCTCACCCCCCGCCGCGGTTGGACTGGGATGGTCCTCACCCCCAGCCAACGCCCATTTAATTCACAAAAAACAATATTAAAGAAAAAAGCCTTCAAGCAAGAAAGGAAAGGAAGTTCATCAGCAAATACAAATTACTTGTCATTCATTAGGAAATCAAATTACAAGACTTTGCTTGACATACCAACCATTTCAAATCACATCAGGTCTGTAAAGGGGGGCCTAAGTCTATGTCTACAAATCTGCCTTGGCCGCCTCAACGCGTGGCGCATGATCAATTACACCCTCCTCCAAAGCTTGCGCACCCACCGCCTGCTCCACCGCGACCGATCGAGTAGCATCATCACCAGTCACCACGCTAGGATCAATCACATTCTCAATAACAGTCCTGGAGGGCACACCGAGCTCAGTATCGCCCTCCAGGGGTTCATCCTCACAATCCGCGTCAGAGGCCGGAAGCATCCCCCGCGCACCTTCATCATTGTCAGTCTCTGGCGCCTCCTCAATCACCCTGATGGTGTCACCATCAAAACGTTGAATAATCTTGCCATCCTCGACCTTATAATCGGGAGAAAATCCAGTCAGATCGGCGTCAGGATACCTAACAGAAACCTGCTTCAGGGCGTTGTCAAAAGAAAGGTACATCAGGTTCGCAAGAGCCTCCTCCAATTTCTCTACCTGTCCAGAGGCCTTCTTTAAGTCCTCATCTTTGGCGTGAAGATACCCTTGGACGGCAAACAAGTCGGCGGCCAGCTTATCCTTCTCAACCTGGAGAACCTCTTTCTCCTTTTTGGCATCTCCCAACAACTTATTGAGGCCATTTTTCTCATCAGACAGCTGCTTGACATCGTCCTCTGACTTTTTCAGCCGCTCAGACAATGAGTTAATGCAGCCTTTCTTGTCAGCAATCTCCTTGCCAAGACGCCCAATATCAGCAGTTAGACTTTCCACCTGTCGCCCAAACCCATCAAGGCGATTCTCCTGCAAAGAGCATTGCTCACCGATAGCAAGGGCGATCTCCTGCATCCCCAGATACGGCCAATAACCACTTGGGTACAGTCCATAATTTGCTTCCGATCTAGACGCGAAGGGGCCACCATCTTTGGACGACCAACGTTAGGAAATCCCCTAACAAGGTCCCTTTCTGACAAGGTTAAGGCCCTGCTAACAGGAGTTGCAGCAGCAGGAGGGGAATCTTCAGCGCTAGAAGTCACACGAACCTGGTCGCCTTGGGATGAAGGAGGGTTGACTGCCCGGTCACTCCCGCAGGTGCTCGCGTCTAACTGCCCGCCAGATGAAGGTTCATAGCGTGCAGACTTCGAAGCTCGAGGCGGCATTAAACTTGCGTCCGCACCTCGTTTTAGACCAAATGTAACATCCCCGTCTCGAGCCGGTTCAATTAACATACATATGATAAAACAGAAAACAACGGAAGACTTAACTTCTGAAAATACGAGCTAACTTTTTCTTTTTCTTTTTAAATTCTCATTCGTCGTGAACGAAAATCGGGCAGAGTTTCCTCTATAAATCGGACAACTGGGGATTTTCCAATCCCTCACAGAAGCATTTCCTGATAAACAGTTTATACAAATATAATCAAATGCCCATCCATGGGCGCATGCATAACTTGGCTCAGTGCCACTATATCTAACAGCATGCAATCCAACACGTAAACATATCTGAATACTACCTCATCATATAACATGCCTGAATACCCAAATGTACATGCATCAAAGCGACAGACATGTACAAAACATATACAGGCCATATACACAATAAAGGATCAATATCATGATCCATCAAATGCGAAAATACTAAAATACATCAAACACTCCAAAAAGGTAGTAGCCTACAGCCACTCAAAATCCAATCTGTCAACTGCCTCAGCCACGTGTCGTGTCCCTGCCTAGTGAGGACTCACCGGGAATCTGGGCACCTGAAAATATGTCCCCAAAGAGGGGTGAGATTACAAATCTCAATAAGCTCCAGGTTTATAGAGAATTCTCCATACCCCTGGCTCGCTCCTGCATGAAAGTCAGATACAGAGTATACAAATACAACATATAACAGATATCATAACAGAACAGAGCATATATCCATATAATATCAGAGATGTGCGCCGTCATTCCCAAGGGAGGACCCCAAGCGGAAATCAGCGCACGTGTTCCCGAGGGAGGACCCCAAAGCGGAACCAGACATATCAGAGGCGTACACCATCAGTCCCGAGGGAGGACCCCAAAGCGGACATCCGGGTACTATACAATCAATGGCCAGAGATTGTTACAGAAATCATATTACAGAAGTCATATTAGAGCAAAACATATCATGTTATCAAATAACTCTATATGAATGCATCTATACAAAGCATCTAAATCACAGCCATACAGTCCAACCATAGTTCACTAACCATGGTGGAGCACTCAAGCAGGAAAAGACTCCTTAAACATAGAGCTTACCTCTTGAAGCTTTACCAATACGCTTACTTGTGGAACAAGTTACTTTTATCGCTTCAAGAGATTTCCGATCCTTCTCAATCCCTAGGCACACCTAGAGAATAATTTACAATGCATCAATAAAATGATGCAATACCATAATTATTTCATAAGCATACATTTTATCGCTTATTTTCCTTTCTTTGCATTTTTGCCAATCCTATGCCAATACACAAGTCTAGACCTCATTATAACCGTTGGTGTTCTTTAATTTAATCAACCATTCCCTTAGGAATTTTCAACATAAATCGTGCTATTTTTCTTCAAAACTCATCACCTTTATACAATTTATTACAACACATTTTATTTAAAATAAAATGTACAAAATATATCCCTAACTACCCTATAGGTCGAACACTACAAGGACATAGGCAAAGGTTCTTTTTCTTCACTTACATGTAACTTACACAAACAAATACATGTTTTCATAAGGTTCCAACTTAATTTTTGGAGCATAAAGTCCCTCCAAAGCCCCACAAGGCCTAAACCTAAGGGCATATTTCATATAATTGTTCCCACTTTGGCATTCTCACTAATTTATCAAATTTCCACTTAATTCCTACACATTAAACCTTCCTAATACTTAAGATACAATTGTGCACAACATCCTACTCTTCACCTATGATGGCCGAACATGTAGAGGAAAGCATAGCATTTTTTTCTAATTTTTTTACATACACACAAATGCTTATTTTCATTTCTTAAATCCAAAACATCAAAGATCCATCATTAAATCAAAGTTTAATACACAATGCTTTCCTACTAAAACATGCTCATAACTTTTATAACTTAAATCATCAAAATAATACCATGGAAATAGAGGTTTGTTACCTCAAATCAACTACCCAAAGCCTAGAAGACCTACACCAAGAGAATCTCCATCAAAAACTTCATTTTGCCCTCTTGATGAATAGTGCACGAATTTGGGATGACAAATATCTCCCTCCACAAACGAAATCAGCTCAAATGGAGGGTTGGAATAGCTTCCTTGGATGATTTCCTATGAGATTGGTATAATGGGTGAAAGATTTGGTTGCTTAATCATGGAGAAATCAAAGAAAAACAAAAACAAACCCTAAGCTTCCTTTTGCCATGGCTGTCACGG